CCTCTGACTCTGTGGGCTGTTTAGGGGTCACTGGGGATGGGCCATCAATTGTTGCTGCATGACTGGGGGTCAGGAGAGCTGTCTTTTCCCAGGAAGTTTGCACAGGAAAGAAAAAACCTGTTAGTAGATGTTTTATATAGTCAATACTGCTTGTAACATTAATAGGTATAAAGACATAAATGAGATCAATTTTCTAGATTAGTGTGGAAAAGTTTTTAGATTCAGAACTGCTTTGCGTTTTGTAATAGTTACTGAGAACCCCAAAGAGCTTTTGTTTGTGTGGGTAAATATTAAAACTGAAGGAGGATGACATATTTCAAATCATAACAATACATTGAAGACATGTTAATGTAGACTATGAAAAATATATTTACAAAATATAACATTTGGTGGGAATGGTGGTGTTTTAGGCATTGCAAGTCATTTTAACATCTTGCTTAAGAGAGGACCAAAAAAGATAAACTCATGCCATTGTGGCAACATGGATGGAGCTGGAAGGGATGATGCTAAGCGAAATAAGCCAGGAGGAAAAAGATAGACCTGGGATGGTTTCACTTAGAGGTGGAATGTAGAGAAAGGGAACAAAGGTTGGGGAAAAAGAAACTGGCAGGTAGACCATAGACCAGAGGCCTACAGCGGGGGAGGGGGCGAGAGAGGGTATCAGAACAGGGGAGGGGAGAGAGCAAGGGATGGTGGGGGGAGAACCACGGGGATGACACCTGAGGGGAAAGAGCAGATACCATCCAAAATAGAAGCTCACTGAATTCTCACCTGCTCCTGCACTCAGTCATCTGCAGTTTGCTGTTTAATGAAATGGGAAGACATCTGAGTGCACACTCAGGTAAGTGGCTGGGAAGGAGAGAACTTGAGTAGCTCTTGCGGGTAATCATGTGTGTGCTCCGTTCCTACACTGGAACTTTCCAAATTGGCTTCTTAGAGCTTGTGGTCGGGTCTGTGGAGCGCATCAGCAGCTCTGCTCCCTGCTCACACTGACACCCTCCAATCGTCCTCTGCTCTTCAAGGATTCCTCGCCAGGCATGACTTTGTAATGTGTGTTGGTTATTGGAAAAATGCTGGTGTCCTGAGACTTCCAGATCTTCCCAATGCCAAAACGTTTTATTCTACGGTAGCACCTTGATGTTGCTTCAGATCAAAACTGTTACTGTTTTCCTTCAAGTGACCAGGCTTACCTGATCATCTTCAAGAAATTATCTGTCAGGTAGCATACCTGGGCGACCAGCGAGGCCTGGAGGAGCTGTGGGTCCAGGCCCTGAGCCAGTGAGGGCTCCCCCCACCTCACAGAGCATGTTCCTGTTTCGTGGTCAACATTTGCTCACTCGGCCCTCCCCACTGTGCCCCAAGGCTGGGGTTGAATGAATTCCTAGTTCTTACTCCTTTATCAGGACATTTTAATTAAAAACATTTTTTTTACACTTCATGTGTTTACAGTACTTGAATTCTCCCCTCAGGTGTAGTCCCTGTAGATCTCCCACCACCACATCACCTATCAGCCATCACCATGGCCCCTTGTGCTGGTCCCACACCAGTTTTGATCCCTTTTCTCCCCCCTCTCCTCCTTTAGGCCTCAATAGATAGTTCCTACAAGTTTTGTCCTTTTTTTGTTTAACCCTTTGTTCTGTTACCCTATATTCCTCCTGTAAGTGATATGATCTGATATTTTTCTTTTTTCTCTGACTTATTTCACTGAACATCCTTTTCAGCTCCACTCATGTTGCTGTGAGTGGCATGAGTTTATCTTTTTGATGGCTTTATAGTATTCCATTGTGTGTGTAGACCACATTTTCTCCATCCACTCATCTGTTTTGGGGCATTTAGGTTGTTTCCATATCTTAGCTACTGTAAATAGTGCTGCAGTGAACAGAGGTGCAGGTTTCCTTCTGAGTTAATGTTTTTGTGTCCTTTGGGCGGATTCCTAGGAGTAGAATTGCTCTGTCATAAGGTAGATTATCAGGGACATTCTCGAGTGAAGCTGACCTCTGCCCACTAGGGTGGGGAGGTGAAGGATGCAGCTCCTGCCTTGTCTGTGCTAGGGAGCTTCTGCCCCACTCAGCATGGCTTTGTGACATTGGGCAGTGCTGATGGAGTGGGAGAGTCTTGAGATGCAAGATACTTATTCAGTCCTTCCACTTGCATCACCTCCTGCATTTTGTTGCTAAAATTCACATGAAGAAGAGCTTCTTTGATGATTCTTTGTGCTGATTAACAGGCAAAAGCAGGTCCATCACTCTGGAGGTCTACCCACTGGTGTGTGTTCAAGTGAGTTCTCAGCTCTGTCTGGTGTTGTGACTTAGCCTTCAGTTGCATGAGGGATGTGTCTTTGACAAGTGCCGCGTTGTGCTTCATTCTTCTGACTTTCCCTCCAGTGGGTGGTCAGCACCCCAGCGTGAAGCTCAGGTTGATGGGAGTGTGTCTTGGGCCCGTGGGGATGCTGAGCCCTTGTAGGCTGCAAGGGGCCTTTACATGTGTTGTTTGGAAAGGAATGTGATTCAGTATGCAACAGCACATTGCAGCCTAAGCTAGTGCTTGGAAAAGCTTATCACACCCAAGTTTAAAAATTCAACTTCTTTTTCTTTACTCTTGGCCTGATGGACCTCAAAATGACATAGCAGCTTAACAGCCACTAGAAATATTATTTGAAAACTATTCTGTTATGGGGGCCTCCCCTGGTGGTGCAGTGGTTGAGTGCTGGGCTGTGAAGCTGCCCGCAGCCTCCGTAGCACTGGTTCGATCCCTGGCCACAGGCGAGGGTCCCACATGGCGCAACAGACCTCTCCTGCCATGCCCGCTGCTCCCTTCAGCAGTGTCCTTCGGTCCTTCTGCCTGCTCTGCTCCCCGCTCTGGCTCTGGTGAATTCTCTCACCCTCCCGCGCTTCTGACTGTACCCAGTGCTTGTATAAATAAATCAATAAATTAAAAAAAATATTCTGTTATGTTAGACACGAAGAGGTATTAACTTTTTTGAAGTTGAGGAAAGGGTGCCTTTCATCATACTTCATTTCTTTATCATTTCACCCAGTTTCTTCGTGGGAGCTGTTTGCCCTTCGGGGCCAGCAGGCTGCTGAGTCCATTTCATTTCTTCCCCATATTTTTAGATGTAGCCAGTATATTTGTCAGTTAAGAATGTTAGTCTTCTAATCCCATTTTAAGATAAAAATTGACCCTTAAATTAGGAAAAAGTGCATTATAAACGAAATTTCTTTCAGAGTCAGATAAAATATTATTATTATTTGTTTTTTTAGAGGCATCTTTTATTTGTTTGTTTGTTTTGTTTTGGATACAGTCAGAAGCGCGGGAGGGTGAGAGAATTCACCAGAGCCAGAGCAGGGAGCAGAGCAGGCAGAAGGACCGAAGTACACTGCTGAGGGGAGCAGCGGGCGGCAGGAGAGGTCTGCGCACCATGTGGGACCCTCCTCCGGTGGCCAGGGAGCAGCCGGGGATTGAACCGGCGCCGCAGAGGTCGCCGGCAGCTTCGCAACCCAGCGCTCAACCGCTGCGCCACCGGGGAGGCCCAGATAAAATATTATTAAACTCTAAAATAAGTTTCCATGAAAATTTGGAAGCTTAAAAACAAGTGAACAAAAGGTACCTGGTCATTTTTGTTTCTTTGTAAGATGAATTTGGGATTGAAAATCACAGTTCATAGGACAATACTGGAGTTACAGAGGTTGTGAAAGGAGGGTGTGAAGACCCCCATAAGGGTGCAGAAGTGGGCGGAGCACAGACTCTTCACACCCCCACCCCATGCCTGCAGCTGCACCAGCACACATTCTGTTAGCCCTCAAAGCGCTGGCGTCAAAGCACATCAGTTAGCTTCTGGAAAATTCCACTGTGCATTCAAGAGAGGGAGCATGAAAAAGAAAAATCATACTTTCACTATGAACATAGTTTTGAACTCAAGGACCCCGTGAAGGTTCCCAGCCCAACTGTTCTAGATGCTTGAATCCCCATCAAGGTGTTTTACAAGGCTCCTGAAAAATCTCCGCGTTCTTTGCAGGTTGCAACCCCAAAGAAGTGGAACCCCAAAATCCTTCAAGCTCCCCCTGGCTTAGACTTACTCTGTGTTATCTTAAGGTTAACTGATACTTTTTTGTAGTGGGGGGAAGGTGCACGTCTGTCACACTAAATAACTTGATTTTTTCATTATTTTTTTTTAATTAGAGAAGAAATGCATAATCTTTTTTTCTTTGCCCTCCCCAAAATGCATAACTTTGGTTCAAGGTCTGACTTGATTGGTGTGAAAGAGTGTCCCTTGTTCTGCTATATGGCTTGAAAGGATGTAGAGGTGACAGGCAGGTGACAGGCACATTGTCTCTGCCCGGGGCTGGATGCTGGTGCTCACCTGGGCTCACACCTGGATGCACTGGCACAGGGATGAGGGTCTGGTTCCTCTCGGGGAGCAGTGACAGCTGCGGGCGTTGCTGCATCTCACCTGCCAGTCACGGAAGCATGATCATTCAACGGGTTAAGTGCCCATTGAACAAGTGGTTTTCCGATCTTTGCACTGAAGGTGGTAAAGTTGTGAAATACCTTGGGCTGTTTTTGTGATTCCCAGATGCACGTTTGACACATTTTAACAACACTAAAATGAGAATCTGCTTTTTAGAGATCAGTTTAACTGGTGGGATTTATTTTTCTATTTTTGTAAAATAGTATGCTTTTATTTTAATTTTGAAAGATTCTCTTGAAGTAGATTTCTTTTGATGGAATTACAAGTGCCCATTTCCTGAGAAAAGCTGTAATAAATTTCATTTTTGAATGCTTTCTATATTTTTATTATCACAAAGGAATAATAGTGTCTGACAATAATTCATAAATGTGTATTTTCTGAAATGTGCATTTTTCTTTTAACTGTTTCATAGCAAAAAGGAGAATTAACATTAAATTACACTCATGTAAATTGAGTTTGCTTTCCTTTCTTAATGATCTCTTTTGCTTATGCTTTTAATTGGCTATTTGCTATATAATTCTGTTCATGACAGGTTTACTTTAGGACAGTGGAACTTGTAGAAGAGCCCATAAAAGGATCTCCAGGTCTGAGTTTCTACTTCAAAATCAACGGGAGGCCCATATTTCTGAAAGGCTCAAACTGGATCCCAGCTGACTCGTTCCAGGACCGAGTGAGCTCGGACTTGTAAGTTTTCATCTTTCTTTCCTGCTCCCTGTTCTCTGACCAGTCCGCACAGCCGAGAATCACTCATTTGTACCTCTTATGTTCCAGTGGCAGGAGCGGAGAGGTGACGCGGAGTTCCAGGAGGGTGGGAAGGGCTCTACTTTGCTGTTGTTTCCTCATGAGCTCCAGTCTCATAGTTAAACCCTTGGAGACTGCTGAACCCGCCCCTTTTCCACAATACTTTCATGTCTTTCCCCTGCAGAAACAAGAAAACTACTAAAGCCCATTTTGGATAGTTAGTTCCTGATAAGTTTGGCTTTTTTTGTTGTTTTTTCAAGAATACCTGAAATATTTTTCTTTTAAAAAAAAAATGGGAACTCATATTAACCTCATCACGTAAAGATGTTTGTGTACTATTCCACTTTTAAAGAGGAACTAAAAAAAAAAAAAACTTTAAAATCCTAGATCTAGGGCCTCCCTGGTGGCACAGGCAGTTGAGCATGGCGCTATGAAGCTGTCCACGGCCTCTGCAGCACGAGTTTGATCCCCGGCCGGCCAGGGAGCAACCCACATGGCGCAGCAGACCTCTCCTGTCTCGCCCGCTGCTCCCCTCAGCGGTGTATTTCAGTCTGTCTGCCTGTTCTGCTCCCCGCTCTGTCTCTGGTGAATCCTCTCACCCTCCCGCACATCTGGTCTGTGCCCTGGTTCTTGTCTAAATAAAATCTTTAAAAAAATAAAATCCTAGATCTAGAGAAAACTTACAGCATTTTTCTGAAGTATTGAGAACTTTAGGGTCGGTTTATCAACTACTGTTTTTTGTGAGCACGAAGATAAACTGCGAAGACATCGCACTCATTTGCACATGTGCAGGTGGGCATCTGAGCCACCACTTGGGTTTGGAATGTGGCTGGGGCTGGGGCCCTAGTTTCACCAGGAGTTACAGTTCTTCCCTTTCACTCCAAAGTACGTATGTTGTTTTCAGTTTCATATGAAAACGAAATTATTCTCCTGACACAGACTTGGATGATTTGCTCTCCCTTTGCTTTTTCAAGTGCCCCCGCCCTCTCCTGGCTGCCCAGGGTGAACCCCTCCGATGCCTTTGCTGAGAGCATGGTCCCCTGCAACACCCTTCCCCTCCACCAGCCTGTTGTGGAGCCTCTCTCCTTCCTCAGCCCCTGGTGTGCACATGGAGGACACCTGCCCGCGAAGTGGTCAAACTACATTACCCTCAGGGTAACAGAAGCTGGACAAAGTAGAAGGAAAGTTTTCTAGAAAAAGAACTGGCCTGTAAGAAAGAAGGAGATGAGTGAGCCAGGCACTGTTGTTGCAGCTTTGATTTTCATGCTGTAGTTTGAAATGGTTCTGTAAAATTAACACGTGCTCTCCAAGGCTCACCATTGTGTTTTTTACAGGAATAATGTTAACTCAAAAATGTCATTTTCAAAATAACGTCGTAATGTTACTGAAAATTTCGGAGGCAGAGCAAAGCTGTCACCCACCGTTTTCTAGGTTTGCTTCTGCGTTTCTAAGGTCATCTCACTTTTTTCACTTAGGGTTAGATCCAAACTGTTGTAATTTTAAAGTGTTTCTCTAACAGATTTGGAATGTGGTTATCAGCAACAAAGTGTCTCATATCTTTCTAAAAATATCACCCCATTCACATTGTCTGTGTTGCCGTCTCCTGCAGGCTGCGGCGCCTCCTGCAGTCGGTGGTGGACGCCAACATGAATGCCCTCCGCGTGTGGGGGGGCGGGGTCTACGAGCAGGACGCCTTCTACGAGCTCTGCGATGAGCTGGGGGTCATGGTGAGTTGCAGGGGATGTTTCACTTGTTCACGTGTTGTCTCCTTGCTGCCGGCCCTGTTCTGAGGGGCCAAGGGTGGCTGCTCATCCTGCTTTGCTCAGAGTCAGGAAAGATGCTTGGCTTTTTGCAAGGGAGTGAACCACACCCTGCACCCAGGCCTGCGGGCGCAGCAGACCTGTGCATCTGTTAGATCAGGCAGGCCTCTCCGTGTTCTCGCTGTGGCGTGGAGGTGTGCTCGAGGAGACAATGAAATAAAGATTTCAGCTTGAAGGAGCTCCAACAAGACCTTGAGGGAAGGTGCAGTGAATACGGCTGTCCAGTTCGCTGAACCTGCTTTGTGCTGGAAGCAAAGCCGACATGCTCTCTCTCTAGGTCCTGGTGTCCCAGCGCTCAGGGGCGGGCTCCAGGGAGAGCGGTGACTATCGAGACACTCCTGAGAGTGGTCTCAGTGATGCGCAGAGCCTAGAGTTTTTTTAGTGCCAGCCAACCTCTGTCCGAGATTTGCTCCTGTCTCCGCACTCACCCCGAGAAGGGGATTCTATGTGCGTTTCATGGACAAGGAAGCTGCCCCGGGGTGGGGGTGGGGGAGCTGTCTCCCAGCCCCCAAGGGCCTGCCCACATGGTCATGCTCTTGGCTTCACGCTTCGTTCCTTTATGAACAATGTGTGTTTTTTGACAGTCTTACCCATCTCAGAAATCCCAAATTCCTGGTGAAAGTTAGAGTGAACTAGAGGTGAGGAGGGGTGCGGAGGTTGGTCTTCCTGACTCTGCACGTCCCTCTACACGTGGACCCCTTTCCTGCCTGAATGCCCTTCTCCACTGCACAGCCCTAGGCCTCACCACGTGTGCCTGAGTCATGATCCCCAGGGTTCAGGTGGAGCCTCTATTCCGTCGGGCCTGGTTATGCTCATGCCTGTGGTCTGGTTTGCAGGTGTGGCAGGACATGATGTTTGCCTGCGCCCTGTACCCCACAGACCATGGCTTCCTGGAGTCGGTGCGACGGGAAGTGGCCCACCAGGTACGCTGCAGCCTGCAAGAGCTTGTCTCGGTTTTCCATTTTATTAGGCCTCTCCTGTTTCTCATCCTCTTTCCTGAATCCCATGAAATTGACAGTGACTCATGGGCTCCCTAGCAAACCCCCTGCCCCGTGGCTTGTCACTCTGTGTGCTGACAACCCCGATGTACCCAGCTCCATGGCCCCTCCAGCCAGCTGTCCACTTGGGCCCCTTAGCTGGCCCTGCCCAGCTTTGCTTCTCCCCGGGTGGTCCCCACCTCTGAAGCCGGCAGTGCCGCCCTTTGAATTTCTCAGATCAGAATTTCACATGACTCCTGGCTCCTTGACGTCTTTCGCATCCACATCTGCGAAGTACATGTGTCTTCATGGACCTGTGAGCTGAGGGGCCCTCGTCTCCCAGCTCCATGACTGACAACGGCTGGAAGCAAGGACTGCCTGTGGGTATCAGGCATCCCTGCGCGGACATGGTCTTTCTCAGTACACGAGCACTCGCTGCTGGGGGCACCCAGTCCCTGCATGCCTGACTCGGGCTGGTAGACAGTCCCTCAGCGACTCACTCGACGCTGGCAGCTACTCGGGGACCCCCTTGGCACCCTGAGCTTGTCCCCTTTGGGATATTCCATGCATCTCTCACTCTCTTGGCTGTTTCTCTTATGCTTGCCACTTCGTGAGAACTTCTCCCTGGCCTCATGGTCCTCTGGCCTGGTGGAGACGCGGGCCCTGGGGCCCTCCCAGCAGGGCTGGTTCCTGTGCTCTGCAGGACTGAGCCCTCCTGGGAGCGCGTCCCACCTGTCGTGGGACTCAGGTGATGATGAGACTAGTTTTCTTTTTTAGTAAAAGGGTTTTTCCTCAGTTTTTGTTTAGTGGAGAAGAGGAAGCCGGTCTCGCTGGTGTCTGTAGAATCCAGATATTCCCCAGATAACATTCCCAGCCGCTTTCTGATGAGCTCTCTGGCTCCGGCAGAAAAGCATTGGCTGTAACTGATGAATCATCACAACACACTTTTTTTTTTTTTTTTTTTTCATGCCGAGTGTTTGAAAATTTTTCTATGTTTTCGTCAATGTTAGGTCAGGAGACTGAAGTCTCACCCCTCCATCATCATCTGGAGTGGCAATAATGAAAACGAAGCAGCCCTGAAGATGAACTGGTTTAACGTGGTCGACATGCACACCTATGTCAGGGACTACGTGACCCTGTACGTGAAGACCATCCGCGAGGTCATCCTGTCAGTGAGTTGGGGCTGGTGACTCAGCAAGTCCAGGAGCTTGCTCTGAAAGTGGTGCTGGGGGTCTTTGTGTTCCTGTTTTAGGGCACCGTTCAAGCTCGCTTTCACGCAGAGTAGTCTGCTGTGGTGCTGCGGCTATGGGGGACTGCCTTGAGCATGAACTCGTCTGTGAGTGTGAGCTCACCTCACACTAGAGTGTGTCACCATCACAGGCTGTCATCGTCACCAACTCTCTGACCCCCCCACCCCCATCCCACCAGAGTGTCTCCAAGGTTGAAACTCTACCTTGGCTGGGGTATTGATACATCACTGCTAAGATGCCACAGTGGTAAATGCTAAGGCTGAACTGGTTCGTGTCACCCATGAGTATGCTGGTATTCGATTTAAGGGGCGACAGGCGTGACAGCCTGGTACCTGCTCTACCAGGGTGTCTTCTTTATGGGGTTCTTGGCACTACATTTCTTTTTTTTTTTTTTTTAATTTAAAGATTTATTTATTTATTTATTTATACAAGCACTGGGTACAGTCAGAAGCGCGGGAGGGTGAGAGAATCCACCAGAGCCAGAGCGGGGAGCAGAGCAGGCAGAAAGACTGAAGTACACTGCTGAGGGGAGCAGCGGGCGGCAGGAGAGGTCTGCGCGCCATGTGGGACCCTCCTCCAGTGGCCGGGGAGCAGCCGGGGATCGAACCGGCGCTGCAGAGGCTGCGGGCAGCTTCGCAACCCAGCGCTCAACCGCTGCACCACCGGGGAGGCCCCATGGCACTACATTTCTAAACTTAAAAAAGAAGAGCTTCTGCTGCCACTGCTTCTCCGTCTTTGACATGGAAACATGCTTTTCTCACACGGGGATCTATGTTACGTAAGTGGAGGCTTGCCAGTTTCTTTGAAGAGGAACAGGATTAAGTGCCTTAGCCATTGTAGCAGTCAGAGCATCTGACGGATAGGTAGTAGTCAGAGTTACTGCTCTGTAGTGGTCAGAGCATCTGACTGATAGCTCTGATAGGAATCAGAGCATTGGTTGTGTAAGCAAGAGTGCCCTAGATTGAGCTGCCCACACACAGTTGGTAATAACTAGTTTCCTTTCGCATGTCCACTTTTCAAGGAATGGTCATTTCTTGGCTCATCTTATGCTGTATCTTGGACCCAATAAAGTCATGATTTAAAGTCATGATCCAGAAAGACGTCACCTGTAAGCTTTGTGACTAAAAATCAGGCCTCACAAGAAAAATCACACCCTTGGAAGGCAATTACAGAGCATCCTGGGGTGGGCATTTTTAGGCAGACTCAGTAATTGTGCTGACTGATGGCTGCTCCGAATTTGGAGGAAGGCAGAGAAATCAGTCAAACTTGATGAACAAGGCCAATTTATCAGTCTTCTCCAATTTTACTTCAAAGCTGTGATGACAAAATATTTTCAAATTTAAGACTACCCACATTCTTACTATCCTTTTAAATACTTTGAAACTCCACCAGCACCTGCTGGGATCCTGTTGCCAGGCAGAGCGTGTTCCCGTTGCTAGGCAAAGCCCCCCTCAGAGCTGGCTGTCCGCTGTTGAGGGAGGCAGGGCCTCGGTGCTGGGGGCAGGATTGAGGCGCCCAGTCCTCACTCAGTGGAAGAGCCTTGACTTTTTACTGGAAGGGCCTTGGAAGGCTTTTATGTAAAAGCTGATGTCCACAGCGAGCCTTAGAGGACAGGTAGAATCTGACACCGAGCGTGCGTCTTCCATATTTTACACCGTGAAAATAGCGTAAAGTCAGAGTGAATGGGCATGGAAGGATGAGTGTGCAGTCCAGCCCTGAAGCAGAGAGCCAGAGGGGGAAGAGGCGGTTTGGAGACTGGTCTTAAAAGGACTTAGAATTGTGTCACAGTCTTGGGCTCCATTGAGCAGACAGTGGGAAGCTGCTACGGATTTGGGGAGAAGGAAGAACTTGATCTGGTCCATGTTCTGCACAGTGCCTTTAGTAGCGAAGACTTGGAGAGAAGTAAGAGAGTCTAGACAAGGAAACCAGTTTAAACAACCAAGACCTCAAAGGTATTGAGATGCTATTTTATGCCAGGCAGTGATCTATTACTTACGATCATTATGTTAATTGAGTATTATGATGTACGTTATACACATTAGCATACTGATGATATAGCTGCTTTTTATAGAATTTGTTCATTTAATTTTTAAAGCTACCCTGGATTATGACCTTTGTTTTGGAGATGGAGACTTTGGAAGGGTAGAAAGACCAGTTGCTCAAGGTCCTCTGTCTATTCATGCCTGACCACACCCAAGGGTCTCTCCTTGCTGAGGGATGCTTGCCCTGCAGCAAACTCCCCCCAACCCTTGCGCCACCGATGGCTCTTCTCAGTGAGACAGGAAGCGAGTTGGATGCAGAGATGCTGTAACTCACCTGTGTGCTGGGCTCCGTAGAGGCTGCTTGCGGCCAGCTGCCCTCACACAGGCCATGGGCGTGGAGACACACACGGAATCACACGGGTGGGAAATCCCAAAAGTGGGAACATTCCTCATTACAGTGATGGACACAGAGAATGTCTGTAACTGCTCCTGTCCTCAGTGGCCCCTCGGCCTTGCCCAGCTTCCCCACTTCCTTTCCAACTCTGCGCAAGGGCTGCTCCTGGGAGACCAGCCGCCTCAGTGCCAGCTCCCACTCCCCCCCCACTTTCCGGCTTATGTTAATGGAAACAGAGCTGGTGAAATTGGGGGATGTTTACACACGACTTACTTCCTGTTTACAGTCTCCTCTAGAGGAGGCTTGCAGTTGTCCCCATCTTACAGATGAAACTGAAGCCTAGGCCTGTCCCAGAACAGCAGTGCTGGCTTGGAATTTGGGGTCCGTGCACAGGCATCTCTGTTCTTACCTGCAAGGCCTGTGGTTCTCAGGTGGAGGCCCAAAACAGTGTGAGATGGTGGGGGCGCGGGCCCTTGGCACCTGGGGCAGAGGCCGAGGTGCTGCTGCTCTCCCTGCAGTGGCCTGGACCCCCTCAGCACACGCAGAGCCTGGTCAGTGGCGTGCACTGAGCAGGCTTGGAAGCCCTCCTGCCTGGCTGGGGGTCTGCCCGGAGGAGGAGGAGCAGCGTGGGGTGTGGGGGCTCTGGCTGTCTCGGAGTGCTGAGAGAGAAGGGTGCTGGGAGTACAGGGGTCAGCTTGGCATTTCTGTTAAGGAATGAGGACTATGAACCCGCTTGGGTGAACGTGTCCTTTCAGCCGTGTCACTTCTGATCTTAGGGAGACAAGACCCGTCCTTTTGTCACCTCCAGCCCCACGAATGGGGCCAAGTCGGTCGCCGAGGGCTGGCTCTCCACCTACCCCTATGACACCCACTTTGGTGACACCCATTTCTACAACTACACCAGCGACTGCTGGGACTGGCGTGTGTTCCCCAAGGCGCGCTTCGTGTCTGAGTACGGGTACCAATCCTGGCCTTCCTTCAGCACGCTGGAGCAGGTACGCGGGCTGGGGCAGGAGGAGGTATTGGGGCAGGCACGTGGGCTGGTGTGGGAGGCGGGTACATGGTCTCTCGGCTGGGCTTGAGCAGACCTATCTTCCCTCTCAGGCCACAGGCCCAAGACACGGGCCTCTCAGTTAAAGCAAAGTTCAGGAGCAAGTGTGGAGGAGATCGTCCCTGCTTCACCCTGTGGGGAGCTGCACTCTGGCAGTCATCCTGAGGGGGGGAGGGCAGTCTTTTCTATATTGCTTTTCATTATGTTCCTTCAGGAGCCTTTGTTACTTTTTATGGTAACCTTCAGTGCTGGCACCGTCCCTGGTGCCCAGGATGGCGTTGAATCTGTAGATGAGCTGGTGAAGTCTTGCCGTCTTAACGCCCTCAGACCCTCTGATTCATGAATACATGCTGTCACCTTTTTAAAATGTTAAATTGAGATGTTATTGACACAGAGATGCTAGTGTCAGGTGTGCAATGTGGTTGGTGTCTTACCTGCTGTGACGTGGTCACAGGTCAGACTCATTAACACTTGTCACCACACATAACTGCGACTTCTTTTTCTTGTGATGAGAACTTTTAAGATTTACTTTCAAGCATATAGCTGAGTATAGTTAACTGCAGTCACCACGCTGTGCATTATACCCCAGGGCTGATTTATTTTATCATTGAAAAGTCTGTGTGATGCCTCTTTCATTTCTGTCTGCACTATTTTATGATTTCTAGCATTCAAGTCTTACCCTTTTTTGGGGGATTAAATTTATTCCTAAGTACTTTGTTCTTTTTGATGCTGTTTCTTAATTTAACTTTAGATAATCTACTCTTTGTATATAATGATATGATTGGTTTTTATATATTGAGTTTGTATCCTGTGACTTCGGAGAACAAATTTTTAGCCCTGATAGTTTGCAGGAGTGTGTTTTTGAGGGTTTTCTCTATAAAACATGTCATCTGCAGATCGGGTAGTTTAATTTGTTCCTTTACAACTGGGATGTTTCGTTTCATTTTCTTGCCTGGCTGTCCTGGGTAGAGTCTCCAGTACAGTGTGGATGCAAGGCTGTAAGAATAGTCACCCTTGTCTCATTCCTTCCCAGAAGATCAGCCGTGGCTGTGGCAATGCTGTTAGCTGTGGGTTTCTCATAGGTGCCCTTGGTCAGCCGAGGAGGTTGCATTTCATGCCTAGTTTGTTGAGAACTTGTATCACGAAAGGATGCTGGGCTTGAGGTTTTGTCAAATAACCGTCCTCCTCCCCTTCCTCTTTATCCCCCCAGGATCAAATGCTTTTTCTTCATCTCTGACCCTTCAGAGATTTTATCCGCCTTCCCTTTGTTGGTGCAATGTGACCACAGAAAAGCTTTGAAGACACTTTCAAAGTTGTCCTCGATTTCAGGCAAACATAGTTGCCTCTAATGGTGGAATTGACATTGTGTGGTACTTTCAGCTGGACTAAGCCTGTCATAACCATGCCCTACCCCTTGTTTTTATTATTAATGGTGGGGCTTCTCCTTGGGGTTCCATGCGACACTGTGGGGCTCCGTGTCCAATCGCAGCAGAGTCGTTGCTGCGAGTGACAAAGGCAGAAAGGAGAGACGCACACACATCTAGGGCGGACGGTCTGTCCGGGGACCCTCGTCCCACCTGGAGCCCAGGGGCAAACTGGGCAGGCACTGAGGGAGGACTTTGCCCTCCAGGGAGCAGCCTCGTGCCCAGGGAGCCGCAACAGGCCTGGCCCCACCTCCACAAGGCCCACATCCTCTGCTCTGTATTTCAGATGGGACAGGGCTCGGCAGCGCAATACCCTTCCTTAAACCCGTTCGTAGGTCTCATCCTGGGAATGAGGCATTGCCATGAACCCCCGGGTGATGCTTTAACATACCAAGTGGGGGGGGGGGTGTATGGATAGACGCCCTGAGTGCTGCGTCGAGGACCGGAGTCACTGGGAAGTAAGAGAAGCCCCAAGATTCACTTGGGCTCCTCTGTAAGACCTTTAGTCCATGTACTTAACAAAAAGTAACTTTTTTTTTTCTGCTTTATAAGCATAGGTTTGTGTGTATTTTTAATCAGCTGAAAACATTTAATGTTAAACACTGCTCCGCCTCCACCTTAGGTGTGAGTTCTTGCTTCCACATTGATGAGCTCCCCTTGTTTTCTGTTCCTTCAACGGATGTTTGCAACACGGTTTCATTAGACCTGGTCTCTTGTTGGGGGTGGGGAGGAGGTGGACAAGGGGAGGGGATAATTAGACAGACGAGGGAGTGGACAGACATGGGCGGGGCAACACACAGGGAGAGCGAACATGACTGAATTACACCACTCGGGAGCAGTGGGCAAGAGGTGAGGCCCCCTGCACCTTATGTGGGTTGGCTCCCCGGGCCGGGTATCGAACTCAGGCCGTAGCAGCAGTAGCATCGCAGCACTGAGCCTTAACCCGCTAGGCCAACAGGGTAGGCTCTTCTCACTCCCTGGCTTTAAGGCTACTAGTACTTCTCCGGAGGGAGCATCTGCTTTGGCAATGGTGCGCTGATGTAAGCGCAGAAACTCGGCATCTGCAGGTGTAGCCCATGTCCTGAGAGGGCAGTCAGGGGTTAACCACGCGGTCTGGCATCTGCTCATTGGGAGCCTGCACTCAAGTGGGCCTCAAGTTTACAGTCAGCGTGGCCCGCTAAGCGCTGGCCAGCAGGTGCTAACGTGCACTGCGGCTCCCGCCTGGGGGTGCCAACTCGTGTGCGTAGCCAGGAACGGCCGGGCAGTCTTCCTTCCGTGGCAGGGCCCGGAGACGAGCATGGATGCCCGCTCTGGCGTAGTCCGTCTGGGGCATAGCTGCCTCAGGCTTGACCTCTAGGCTGTGGAGACGGTGAACTTTGCTGATCACCTCCTTCTGAGAGTTCACACCTGACCTGTGGTTCCTGGGTCCGTACCTCACTGTTGTTGGGACACATAGATTTAAAGATAGAATGTGATGGTTCTCTTTTTCCCCAAAAACACTTTCTGGTTGGTTTGGTCTGGCGCCCGCCCCGGCGGCCTCGCGTGGTCGGCAGGCGGGGCCTCCGCGGGGCGCGGGCTGGACCGGACAGCCCCGGGCCCCGCCACAGGCCCCCCATAAAGTAATCTTTTTAAGAGGTGATTATCAATATGTGCACAAGATGAAAGGCCTGGGCTTTTGAACAAAAGATCTAGATTTGATGATGGGACTGCAGACTGACGAGCTGGATTGTCTTGGCAAATTAGTCTTCTTGAATTTCTGCGTCCTCCTCTGTAAATTGGGGTTAATAGTAGTAACTACATTTTACAGTGTGTGCATACACGTGTGTACGTACAGTAGGCTTCTGTGCCAGTGATGCTGTGTAAAGGATCAGTTAGTACGTTGGAGCATTACATTAACAATAAAATGTGGCTGTTACCACTGTTAACATCGTCTGTTCCAGCCCCGGGGCTTGTACAACAGTCGTATTTCTCCAGCTTTGTCTAGGTCTGAGCCCCAAGAGCTGGCTCTGGACAGCACTGACTTGTTCCGTGACCTTTCTCTGCCTGGTTTTCTCATCTGGGGAAGGGGAGGAGTAGCCACTCTTTGAGCCCTGAGAGGATTAAAGGAGCTGACATTCTTCTTTTTTTAATTTAATTTTTTTATATTCTGGATTTTATTTATTTTTAATATTTTATTTTATATAATTCTTACATCATTTTTTATTTTTGCACAATGTATGCATTTTCATTTTGGTTATATTCCCCATACAATTGCACCCCCCCTTATTTTGACCCTAATCCTTCTTCTCCCCGCCAACCCCACCCCCCATAGTATGTCTCTGGTTCATAGTTGCTTGTTGATTTTGATTATTACTTAAAGGAATCAGAACCCTACCTGATACTCTAATCCTTTCTGGTGACAAGGTTACCACTGAGTCTGGTGAGATCTGGGCCTAGTGGTGGGAAGGTGGAGAGCCTGCCATTTATCGGATTATGTTCAAGTCACCCTTCAAGTCAGTGGAGGGTGGGGAGGTTGGGCGCGAGTCAGACATTGTCAGGCAGGAAGGCAGGAAGGAGGGAAGGGTCTAGGGAAGGTAGCCGCCCTGAGGTGTGTGCAAGATGAGTGGAGGTGCAAAAACCTGTTTCTTAGAGGTCAAAGTGGTGACTTGTGTTCTCCGAACTATTGACAGTCATAGGTTGGAAAGATATATTTATTTATTTATTTAAAAAGATCTATTTATTTATTTATACAAGCATTGGGTACAGTCAGAAGCGCGGGAGGGTGAGAGAATTCACCAGAGCCAGAGCGGGGAGCAGAGCAGGCAGAAGGACCGAAGGACACTGCTGAGGGGAGCGGCGGGTGCGGCAGGAGAGGTCTGCACGCCATGTGGGACCCTCCTCCGGTGGCCGGGGAGCAGCCGGGGATCGAACCAGCGCCGCAGAGGCTGCGGGCAGCTTCGCAGCCCAGCGCTCAACTGCTGAGTCACTAGGGGAGGCCAGGAAAGATATGGAAAAACTTCCACATTGAATATGACTAATTTACTTTCCTTATGTTTGGGATGAAAAAATTCATAAAGAATTTTTTTTTTTTTCATTTTCAGGCGATCATCCTGTGCATCGCATAACTAGGAATTTTAAGTCAAATTTTATGAACAGGGATCAAGTTTTTTAATTTTCAAGTTTTTTTGAGGGTGGGTGGAATATATTTTTGAAAGTTTCTGTGTGGCTTGAATTAAAACTCTGATATTTTCAGATATAACCAGTAGTTAACCTCTCTGAAATGCTAATTGTGCATTAAATCACAGGCTTAGAAGCCAGAAATGTTGTAGTTTTTTTCTGTAAAAGGCACACTACTGTGTGTGGTGTTTGTTTTTGTTTTTTACTTTGACCTGATAACTGTTAGACAAAAGCTCCCGTGAATTGTGCCCGACTCTAAGATGGATTCTTAAGGGAAGGGAATACTGTTGTCTGGCTTGTGTGTGAAGTGACATGAAAACATGACATGTGCATGTCAGGTGTGCTGAGTGATCACCCAGGGACACGTGAGCAAGGAGAGCTGTCTTCCTGTTGAAGGATTGACAGCGTAGCACCCCATTGCTTCCATCCATTCTTCAGTTTTGACAGTCTGTTTACTTAGATAGATAGAGTGACATTCTAAATTGTACATAACAGATGTTTCAAAAACAGGAATGTGTTTTGAGAAGACTTTTGGGGGAAACCCCAACCGAAACTCCCCAGGCTATGTGAGGAGCATGTGGGTTGCCTGTTGGCAGGCCCCTTGACTCCATTCCCCGGGCTCTCCTTCCCGGACACCAGTGAGGCTGCATAAGCACCGCTGCCATCTGAGTTGCAGAACAAACTCGGGGCCTTTTTCCATGTGACCTGTCCTTTCAAAGTCTGGCAGAGCTGTGCTGAAAAGCTGTCTCACAATTTGTATCTCTCGTTCTTTACTCAAAAGGTTTCATCCGCGGAGGACTGGTTTTACGAAAGCGATTTTTCCACTCACCGACAGCATCACTCTGATGGTAACTCTGAGATGCTGCTTCAGGCTGCACTTCATTTCAAGCTGCCCCAGAGCACGGACCCCGTGCGCAGGCTCAAAGACACTATCTACCTCACGCAGGTAAAGCTCTCCCCTCCCGGGGCCCGTGCACTCCTGGGGCTGACATGGAAGCGCGTGTGGGCTTTGTAGGCCACTTGTGAAAACTGTTCACGTCTTCATTTCACTGTTGAAGGCATTTGCTTTCTTGAAAACAACAGATCATGTAGGACATGAAATAATTCACTTTGGCATTTGTCTCTCCCACGCGAACAGCTCACAAAGTTGCACAACAAAGTATGCAATCAAATGTTCCTTGGTTACTAGTGATGGACACAGTTACTAGTGATGGACACGAGGGAGCCCCAGGCAGACTCAGGACTGATGCACCCCCACTGAGTCCTCTGGGAGGACATTCTTATCATAAGCCCCCTCTAGCAGGGGGGGTCCTTTATAGAAAAGGAAATGAATCGTAACTCCAGACACAAAAGTGAGTTTGATCAGACAGCAAAGGCTCAGTTGGGAAAGGCAAGGGCAGTGCAGATTCTAGGAGAAAACAGGAGGACATCTTCATGGCTTCATGCCAGGCAGCACTCTTTAGTAGGACTGAGAAACACTGACTAAAGGGAAAGAAGGGTGAATTGGAATTCATTAAAATTGTGGATTTTAATTGATCAAAGGCACCATTAAGAGAGAGAAAAGGGAAGCCCCGGACTGGGGAACAGTATTTGTAATGTATGCATGTGATACAAGACTTGTATCTGGAATAAAGAACTCTGTACAGCAATAAGAAAAAGACAGATAGCCTATTTAAAGATGGACAAAAACCTTGAACAGGTGCTTCAGCAAAGAAGATACCCACATGGTCAGTATCTAGAAAAATGTGCTCAGTTTCTTTCTTCTTCGAGGAAATGCAAGTGGAAGCCACACCTGATCACTGCTTCACACATGTGCATGGTGAAATTCCAGTGCAGGGGCCCATGTTAAAATGATTGGCAGCGTCCACAGTTGGGGATGTGGGACAGCTGGACTTTGAGACATTGTTAGTAGGAAGGGAATTTGTTTGACCATTTTGCAAAATTGTAAAAAGAAATTAAGCAGTTTCTACCAAGTTAAGCATGTGCTTCCTCTTTGAGTCAGCATGTCTGCTCCTAGCTGAGTACCCAAGAAAAATGAGCATTTGTGTCTGCCAGCAGACACCTAGAATAATGTTCATTGAAGCAGCTTTATTCGTAAAGCTCATGCTCACTCCCTCTAGTTGTGTATGAAAACACAAAGAGCTGGATGGAAGATGAAAAAGTAAACTGTAAGCCAAAGGTTATCAGAAGCTGCTACACCAATTTATGCAACTTGAATGTTTCAGCCATAACCGTAGAGGGAGCTTCTCAGTGAGGTGTGTAATTTATGAACTCACCTCACAGACACAGGTTTTAAGATAACGTTGCCCTCTCTACTTTTGAGATTGTTGCAGTTGTAAGTTTTCCATAGCCAAGAATCTAATAGAGTATGTTTGATACGGGACACCCTGATTTGTGTGTTTATATATTTATATGTATGCGTGTGCACGTGTGCCCGTGTGGTGTGTGTATGTGTGTGTGTGCGTGCATGTGGGTGAGTGTGTGGTACTTACATAGGCATATGTGGGTGAGTTAGGTGGTGTGTGTGGGGTCTGTGTGTATCTGAGTGTGTGAGTGTGTGCACCTTGCAGCTGTTGTTCCTCCTGCTCTCTGACCTCTTCCCAGCTGTTCTCTTTATTACTCTTACTCTGTTCTAGTTCTGCAAAGCCATGGTCTAGAGCTCTCAGAAATGTCACTGATGAACGTGTAGGCATGTAGGAGCAGGGTGGACGGTGAGGCCTTGTTTGCAGTCTCTCTGGATGTTTCGGAGGCCGAAAGCCAGAGAACCGGGAGCTCCGGTTTCCCAAGACAGGGACGACGGGCCCTCAGCTCAGGAAGAGGGTGGACCGGCCTTCCTCGGCCCTTTGTTCTGCTCAGCCCTCAACAGATTGGACGCTGCCACCTACGCGGGTGAGGATGGGTCTTTTTACTCAGTCTACACCCTCAGGAAAACACTGACGTATGCACCCAGAAGTGACATTTTACCAGATGTCTGGGCATCGCTTACCCAGTCAAGGTGATACGTAAAATGAGCCATCGCAGAGAGGATGTGGGGACGGAGGAGGCCACATGTGCTGTGGGTGTGAGTGTCCAGTAGGGCGGCTGCCAGGGCAAATTGTCGGCTCTTCAAAAAGTTAAACTAAACTTGGATTTAATATTGGACCCAGCGGTTCTGCTCTTGGGTATAATCCAGCAGAAGTGAAAACTTGAAGGCAGATGTGCGTGGCAGTAGGAAGTAGGGGTGCTGGTTCTGCCCTGCCCTGCGCTGGAAAGCCCTGGTCCCCGCATGTTTTGAATGAGCAGCGTGGGGGCAGCTGATTGCGTGGAGAACGGGCTCCATGGAAGGCCTCTAACAGGTCACCAGCCCCGTCCACTCTCTTTGTCAGAGTCAAGGCCATTGGAGGCCAGATGGAGACCAAGGGCTTCGTCTCCTCGCGCCGTCTTGGTGTTGGAACCTGCTGGAGTTGCACAGGGGAGAGGCCAGCTGAGTGTATGGAGTTTACCAAGTGCTGCTTGGCATAGGAGGGCCTGAGAGGAGAATCACGAATTGGTGGGGGCCAGGACCCCCGCAGTGTGCAGGAATCCAACGAGACCACCCCCAGGGCCTCCCCAAAGGAGCAGAAGAGCAGGAAGAAAGCAGAACAGTGTTAAGGGGCCTGGGTTCAGTTTTAAGGACAATGCAAAGTAGCAACACCCCTCCCAGTCTAGGGGGACCTCTCCATGGGGTCTGCGTCCCCCTAACCAATCGCAGAAGGTTCCCTGGAATCACTGCTCCTGGCAGGTGGGATCTCGGGGCCCATGGTGGGCTGTGGTGAGCAGGTCACAGAATGGGGGTACACCACCTCTCCCCTCCTCCAAGCCCTCAGGTTCCCTTTTGCTGGCAAAGCACTAGCCTTCATCTTCTGTCATCATCAGTTCAATGCCCTGTGCTGACCAAAAACAAAAACAGGTCAAATGTTAATCACCGAATGATGAGGTAAGCGAAACATGGCGTGTCCATACCGTGTGTGTCTGCATCAGGATGAGGAAGCCGCACACAGACCCTGAAGCTGTGAAGCTGAGGGAGGGGGTCCCTTCACTTCACCCCCGCTGACACCCAAAGGCAGGCATCATGTCTTTCCACGTAGATATTTCGTCCAATACAGGCAAATCACAAAGATGGAAAGTAGGTTAGTGGTTCCCAGAGCCGGGGAGGAGGGGCTGAAGCGCTGGAGCAGCTGGCAGTGAGAGTCGCCCTAGGAGCACATGGGGGCGGGGTGTGGTGCGAGTATGTCAGCCTGCAGAGTAGCGTACTGGGAGCGCCGTGTGCCAGGTTGGTTTAAGTAAGCACAGTATCTGAGCCACGCGTCAGGACTGAGTGGCATGGCGGCTCCGGGTTCTGATGGCTGTGGAAGGGGTGGCCCTGTTCCTCGCTGCCCCTCTCGAAGGGGGGCGGGCCTGGTAGCCAAGTAGCAGCTCCCATCACAGCAAAGCTGCCCCTGGTACCTGGGGCTGGGTGTCCTAGGCCAATTTCTTTTCCCCAGACCATGTGTTTCTCTCAGGAGACTGATTTCGTAAGTGTAATCAAGCAAGCTGCTGAAAATAGGCACATTTCTGAAACCAAAATAAGATTTGTCTGCTAACAGTGGGACTGAGCAACCTCGGCAATGACTGAGCATTTATTTTCCCACACATGAAGTTGCCGCTTAGGGAGGCTGTGCGCATGCGCCAATGCAGGTGCCACTTTGACAGGGAAGGAGGGTTGTGATACTGCTTCAAGAGGGACATTTCTTCCGTGGGCAGTGACCTCTGAGCTGCTGTGAATAAAGGGCTGCTTGTTGGCCGGAGGGCAGCCACGGTCTGGGTGAGCCCCGCCCCAGTGTGCTCACATCCCCTACTGGCAAGTCTGCTGGAGTGAGATGTCTTGGGGTACTGCGCCTCTCATTGCTGGGTTAGCCCATTGTGATGGGTTGTTATTTACCTCTGTGATGAGAAAAGATGAATTATAGGGAGGAAATTGTTAGGAGATGCAGAGGGAATACTCTGTTTTGCAGGTGGTTTGGAAATTTGAATCACTTAAGGGCTGAAAACACAAGTATTTGTAGGAGCAGCAGGTCACACAAATACCTGGAAAGTATGATTGTGGTGTGGAGGCCCTCGCCTGAGATTTTAAACAAAGCAACACTAGAAACAGGGGCTCCCCCCGCCCCAGCCAAGCCCTGTGGGGCCGAGTCAGCGTGGAGATCACCTCTGCAGCCCCGACAGGGACATCGTCCCTCAAGGACTGAATTTGTCACTTATGTTCACCAAAAGAGACGGACAACCCAAGAGGAGAAGAAATCAGCTTGGACATAAACTGCCTTAGAGCTTTCATGTAAAGACAGACCCTGGCAGCCATCCCTGGACCAACCACAGAGGGGCCCACTCAGGCACCAGGGTCGAAGCGCCGAGAGCCGAGGCCTGCAGTGGCGTCGGGGGCTGGTGGCACAGGTGGGAAGCCGGACAGAACCCCAAAACAATGCTCATCGCATTGTTCCCCCTGAAGAGTAGCTTGAGTTTTCGGGGAGAGGCCTCTCCACTTTGGCCCCGTCTTGGTTCTCGTGTGGCCCCTCAGAGCCCCCCGGAGGACTGGGCACTGCCAGCCATGACAGCAGCTGCGAGGCACTGATTTTCCCGCCTGAAGCTCTGGGTGCCCTTGAAACAAGGACGAGGGCCAGTCTCCCCACAGCAGCTCACGGCCGCAGCTGTCACAGGAGCTGTGTTCCTCGGACGCCGTACACCGTCAAGCTTCACGGCATAAGCACGGGGGGCAAGAGAGGGGCCACAGCAGACTCAGAAGGAAGTTCTTTTTCCCATAGCATTCTTTCTAATGAAAAATTATTTTCAAATAACTATGAATGTGTCAGGAAATCCATCCCTGCAGAAATGTGGGCCTTAGCTACACAGAGCCTTTTGCTAGGGAACAGGGTGGGTGTGGCCGCCGCCGGCAGGGCCTCCAGCACAGATGGCTGCCCTCCGGCAGGGGGCTGGGCACAGGCCCGTGTGATGAGGTGGGGAAGGCTCACCCAGCTCCCTGGGTGGCTTTGAAGGGAATCCCCAACCCTTTGCTCTTCTCAAATTGAGCCCTGCCTCAAATGATGACCCCCATGTCTTCCGCCAGGTGATGCAAGCCCAGTGCGTGAAGACGGAGACTGAGTTCTACCGCCGCAGCCGCAGCGAGGTCGTGCGTGGGGAGGGGCACACCATGGGGGCCCTGTACTGGCAGCTGAACGACATCTGGCCAGCGCCCTCCTGGGCCTCTCTCGGTGGGTGTCCCAGGGCATCAGTGGGAGCGAGAGCCAGGCGCAGGGTTGGTGGAGGTGGGCAGGGATCAGCCCCACACACCCACCTGGCCTCACAGAAGCATCCTGGCGGCCTCATGACGTCTATCTGCAGGCACCAGAGCTGGCTGACATGGGGACAGACGTCACATGGAGGTGCCAGCCAGGCGTGCAGTGATGCGACCTGAAAATCTAGGTTGTTGCCGCGCTGCAGGCTCTAGACAGCCCTCTTCTCTCAGGAGGCCTCGGTCGACCACGAGGCTGGCTCAGCTTGGGTCGGGGTGCCCCGCCGCCCGAGGCCCTCTCTAGCTCTCCTGTTTGTCGGTCAGGAGAAAGCCAGGTCAGAAGTGGCAGTGGGGGGCTTGCAGCTGGCCTCTGACCTGCCATCTGAACCATCCTCTTGAACACCATTGTAAAAATTACTGAGTAATGATAAGTTTTTGGCCTGCAGTTTGGTGAACACAAAAAATTTTGAAACAAAAATGAGGCCAGGCCACCAAGCCTCTTCCCTGGCTGTGGATGCCGAGTGGGCAGCACTTCCCAGCTGAGACGGGGCCCAGCACCCTCACGGGACTGACCTTCCCGCCAGGTCTCTCTGACCAAACACCTTACTCGCACGGAGCAGATAAAAGGGGGTTGAATGAGATTGGGGAGACTGTCAGGAAGCAGCCCACTGGGACGCTTAAAACTGGATGGAGATTATTCTGAGCCTGGGCCCTGACCCCACTCTGTGGACAGGGCTGTGGGCATGCGGGCAGAGGCCCTGTGACCCACTGAGTGGTCACTGCTGTGAGCCTGGACAGGTGGGGAAATCGGCGTCCAAGAGGGCAGTGGCAGAGCAGCCCGGGCTACTCCCGAGCTCTGGCAGGACTGTGCCTCATGGTAGGGGGTGGGGGCTGGGGACCCTCCCTCCAGAGTTCACGAGTTCACGTCGGCCTCTTCACTTTCACCTCGCGTGTGGCCATGGCTTTCACCAGGAAAGAAACCAAAAGGGGTTTTGCTTCTAGGACAAAAACTGAGAAGGGAAAGCAGTGTTGTGTTGAAGCTGTTCCAGAAGCAGCGGCTCCCCGACAGCAGCTCCCCAGGTTCCTCTGGGGACCATTCTCCATGGACCCCATCTGCTCCCCATCCAAGGGGAGGGGGTCACGTGCTACGGGGTTCTGGTTGATGTTGTGGGGCCCAGGGGCCCCAACACATCTCCAGGTGAATGCGTGGCCACAGCTGGTTCACCTAGGTCAGGTTGGCTTCTGGAAGGTTCCTGGGAACTCCTGCTTTCCGCAGTGTCACCTGCCGCTCCAGAGCAGCCTCCAGGCCTCTGGGTGACTGTATGCTTGGCTGCCTAGTGGGTGTGGGTGGGGAGGTGTGTCCCCCAATCTGAAGTGGTGATACCTTGAGGGGTGTGGAGCCATTTGGCATCTAGAGATTTTTACATATTTTTTTTTTAGATTAGTTTCATTTATAGTTAAAATTGTGCAACTAAAACCCCCGCCCCGGGCTTTTGCTTGGCTCATGAACCTAGACGGTGACAGAGCACCGTCAGCTGCCCCACAGGGCTCTTCTGTGTTCAGACTCGGTCAGCGTCAGCAGAGGGTGTGTCAGTCCCTGGCCTGGTGCCTGGCCTTGACCTCGAAGCCACAGTTCCTATTCCCTCCCCCCCCCCACCGCAGTGAGTCACTTCACCGCAGGCCACCGGCAGGTGAGTCCCTCACCTGATACTTCCCCCGTGTGAACTCAGTTCACTCTGCAGATCCAACAGGAGGAACCCCCCTCCCCCGTCACTGCTGCTGGTAAGGGGTGGTGCAAACAGCTGGGCTTGAAGTGTGAGCATCAGCATTTTGGCAAATGTAAAGACATCGGTGGTGTATCTGCACATCCAAACCACAGTCCACAGCTGGCACAGTGAAAGCCAACTCCCTGCCTCCCCCATGCTGCTCCCTCCTCCCTGAGTGTCAGGTGACGCAGGTTTCCTTCTGGAGTTGAGGGATGCTGGCCTTTTCTCTGTGCGTTTGCATACTTGCTCTGCCCACAGGGCACAGAATCCCGCTGGTCTGGGCCTGTGCCTGAGCGCCTCGCTGGCCGGGATGTCCCCCGTGCCGCCCCCCGGGTTCCGTCCCCGGGCGTCCCCGGGCGGTGACCGGAAAGGAGGCGGAGTGCTCCATGCAGGGACGGAGGACTGCTTGGGGCAGCCGTCAGCCCTGTGCCGCCCCGGCCCTCTTTTCTGTGGTGGCAGCGCCTGCTGCCGGGGAGGAGCCCACGGGCCTGGCAGCTGCTAACGCCAGCTGTCTCCAGAGTACGGGGGAAAGTGGAAGATGCTGCACCACTTCGCCCAGCGCTTCTTTGCCCCGCTGCTGCCCGTGGGCTTCGAGAGAGAGGATGTGCTGCTCATCTACGGCGTGTCCGACCTCCCCACCGACTGCAGCGTGAAGCTCACGGTGAGTCCTCGGAGTTCGCCCCCTTCCGTAGAGGTTTCAGGGAGTTTCTGTCGTTACTTGGTAAGTCATTTGGGGGAACAAAGGGAAGTTAATTTGTATCGAAATGTCTGGTGCCTGCATCAGAAGGGGCTGCCCTTGGGGTCAGAACCCCTCTCTTTGGGGTGAAACGCTCCCATTTATGCCATGACTTCAGCCTGAATGTCCCGGTGATGCAGTTTCTATGGGAAATCCCATTCCTAGGCGTGCCTATGGCCGGTGAATAAAATATCTGGACAACAGCAAGTGACAACTGCAAAGGGCCACTTATGTGTTTGGCTACTTTAGACAGGCTGAAACACCCCACATTTGATAAGGATAAATGCCCCAAAACAGCCGTGAGGCCCCTAGGAAGGGCGAGTGGGGCAATACATATGCCCGGCCAGTCAGATGGGCCAAGTTGCAGGGAGTCCTGGGCAGCTGCGGCTCGGCGCACACCTGCTGGCTTGTTTATGTGTGAAAAGTAGAAAAAGCAGCCCCTGACACGGAGTGTTCGTGCTGAGGCTCTCCCAGATTGCCAGTGTGGTTTCAGCCACCCCCTAAGGGTGACCCTACCCCAGCAGAGCTGTGGTGTCCCGGCCAGCACAGAGGGGCCGCCTGCTAGGCGCGGCTTCCCCTGAGGAGGGAGGCTTCCCCAAGCACCCTTTCTTGCGGCTTGAGACCTCGTCCCCAGGACGTCTGTGGGTGCCCTCCCCAGGGGAGCCCTTGCGGTCTCCTGACGGTGCTGCCAGTGTATGCGTCGGCCGCCAGAGCCAGGGAGCTCCCAGCCTGTGACTGTGGCTCCGGGCATGAGCAGGGGTGCAGTGTCGGGGAGGGCGCAGGCGGCCCGACCAGGTGCTGGGGCCAGTCCTGCTCATCCGGCTGCTCTGCGCAAGGCACTCACGGCCGCCTGGTGCTGTCTCCTGCAGGTGCGGGTCTACGCGTGGCGCTCGCTGGCGCCCCTGTGCTCGCTGCAGAGCAGGTACCTGGCGCTGAGAGCTGGCGAGGCCCGGCTGCTCTTCCAGGAGCAGGTGCCCCAGCTGCTGAGCCGCTGCCAAAACTGCACCCGGCAGGCTTGTGTGGTTTCCTTCGACCTTTCAACCGACAGCAGAGTCCTGAGCCCGACCAACTACCACTTCCTGTCTTCCCCCAAGGAGGCCGTGGGGCTCCACCGGGCGAACATCACGGTAAGTGTCTCTCACATCCCACCCCTCTTTACGCAGGGACTGGTTTCCCAGGCCTGGGGGACCGGCCCCTTCCCTGGACTCGGAGGCCAGACAGTTTCCGTTGCGACCTTGGCACTTGCTGGTTTTCCCTTCCTGCCATCCCTCCGAAGTGGGGGTCCTTCCCCCCACCGCACTTCCTTGGGGGCTTTGTGGCACCAGCCTGAAGCCTGGGCACCTACACGGGCAGGTGAGAGCCAGGTAGAGGGGCTGAGTAGCTGCAGGCGCCGTAGCTCCAGGGCCACCGAGACCAGGGCCCAGCGGAAGCACTTGATTGTGAGCACTTACGTGGCTCATCAATAGTTCAGTATTCAGCTGCGCTCTGACGTCTTGCTCCCAATAGCACAGTCTCCAGATGCCTTCAGAATTGCCAGGAAAGAGAGGGGCTGATCAGGGTGTGTGGTTACAGAGAGCTGCGGATTCTGGGGTCTCTGTGGCAGTCACAGACTCCCCTGGCCCCTGCACACCAAGTTGGGGGAGCCCTTCCATGAGCGCCCTGTGTTTCCGGTGAATTCTAAATGTTTCTCTTCTGCTGAAGAGAATGAAGAGAATTCTAAATGTTTCTCTTTGACGAGGCTTGAAAGGGATTTCCCCCTTACTTTAGAAGGAATCATAGAAAAATGCCGTCCTTGAATTGAAGACGTGTTTTCCTTCACAGTTATGGAGGAAACGGTCACGGTGACGTCTGAGTCACCTGTGGCAGCTGACGGAGAGATGGGAGGAAGTGATGTCTGCTTGCACAGCTGCCTCGCAAGGAGGGCAGAGCAAGCTGGCCAGGGCAGGCTCCAGACTGGGGACCGCACACGTGCCTTTTCCTCTCTCCTGGCCTGGGCCGCGCTCACCGGGGACGAGTCGGGCAGGAGAATGCAGGGCTGCTCTGTCCCTCGCGCTGGTCCTGAGTGGGCCTTGGCCTCCCAAGGGGACAGTGCAGGTCAGCACTTACTGCAGGCACTTTGAGGCGTGTGGGTGCGTGTCCCCCTGTGTGCGGGAGGGTTTCTCGGCCTCTCTGGAGCCCCCGGGTGCAGGCATGAGCCTGGACACTGCATGTGGGAGGCCAGCGCCTTCTGGTCTGGGCCAGGGGCAGCTCCAGGGTGTGTGCGGACAGCTGGGTGTCCCAGCCGTGGGGGCTTGGTGTCCGCCTTCCATTCTGGCCTCTGAGCTTCTGAGCGCTGCCTGACACGCCACCAGGCCAGGTTTCTTGCCGGCAGACCTGCCCTGCCCACTGACCTGCGGGCCACAACCAGCGTGGAAGTATGTGGGCTCCTGGCAGCAGGCACCTGGGCTGCTAGCCAGGCCTGGTGTATGCTGGCCGCTGACCCTGGGCCTGCCTCCGTGTTAGCTGCACGTGCTGACGGTGCAAAGGGCACACTGTCACAGGGTGTGAGAGCCCCCTCACCCCAGCGCCTCCAGCCGCCCTCCACCCCTGGGCCACATGGCTTGGAGAGACGGAGGAGACTAGAGGAGGGGCTTGGTGCCCTCCTCAGGCCCCTCCTCATGGACCTGCCACCTTTGCTGGCTTTGAGGTCATAGCTGGGCATCTCTGCAGCCTTCCCCAGGCTCCTGTGTGGGCATCCAAATGCCCGCAGCCCTCAAGGCGTTTGTCTCCCTCCAGGCCGCCATCTCTCAGCAAGGTGACGCCTTTGTCTTCGACCTGGAGACCTCGGCCGTGGCGCCCTTTGTCTGGCTGGACGTGGGGCGCATCCCCGGCCGCTTCAGCGACAACGGCTTCCTCATGACCCAGAAGACGCGGCGGGTGCTCTTCCACCCGTGGGGGCCCACCAGCAAGCGTGCCCTGGAGCAGGCTCTGCGTGTCACTTCCCTGGCTGACCTCGAGTGAGGGCCCGTGGCGCCTGCTGCGGAGGGGCCCTGGGCGGGCAGGATGGAGGGCGCCGCCTCCTGGCGAAACTGTGGGTCGGTGACTCCGCGCCCAGCTCGGGGAGGGGCCGCCGGTGGCGCCCCCTGCTGTTTGCCAGAGCGTATGTGGTTGATGCTGCGGTTCGGAGTCTGTTTTCGTGTGTGGCTTTAGGAAATGTGACTGAGCAGCTTACTGCGCCAGAGGCCAGTAGCCTGACCCTTTGGAAAATAAGCTTCCGCCGAACAGACACCACCGTGTGGCCTGGGAAGTTTTGGGGTGTGGATCTCCGCTCTAAACCCCGGGACTCAGCAGCTCAAAGGCTGGGTGTGGTTTGGACTTGTGGACGCGGCAGGGAGGAGCTCCTCTCTCTAGCTTGGGCTTCAGTCGTTTTACTGGTTGATGAACTATGAACTGCTGTACCATCTTGTCTTACGCATGATCACACTTTCAAGATGATTTTGATCACAGGGCAGGTGGGTCAGGATGTTGGGGTGTAGGTGGCCAGGGCGGGGCGTTGCTTGTGTTGCTTTTGGGGCTCTTGAGTACGTGTGAAATGAAGTCCCGGTTTACAGGTTTTATAAAGTGCAGTCACAGCAGTGCTGTCTGCTTGGTCGTCCGTGACCGTCCGGCTGGCCCCACCCCAGCCATATCCCCGTCATCTGGCGGGAGAGGCTGTGCGTGGGGCGTGGCCCGTGCTGGCCCGTGTCTCCTGCCTGCGCTGGGCTGGGTGCAGCCTGGTGCTGATTCTGGCGCCGGGAACATCAGGTCCAGCTTGATGTGGGCTTTGGGGGGGCTGTATCGCCAGGTGAGACAGAGCCCCGCAGGGGGAGCTCTGAGGACTGGGTACCCGGGCCCCCTGTGGCCTTTTGTGACCATGGAGAATCGCAGCCGACACGGGGTGTGAGCTGTGAGCTGCCGACCTCATCCTGCAGGTCCCCAGCTCTGGTGTTGGGGTGCTCGGTCCTCGTGCTCGGGTTGTCCGAGCGTCCTGCATGCATGCATGGACTTTGAGACTGGTCCTGCCGGGCTCCAGACCCACTGCCCCCGAGCGGCCTGCTAAGCCTCTGGAGCACCACCCTGCAGCGTGGGGTGATGCTCAGAACAGCAGCCGTCTCCTGGGCAGTGAGGCCTGGACGAGATGCGGCTGCCGCTGGCGGCACGGAGGCCAGTCGGTGGACGTCGGCTGTCCCCGTGACCGCGGTGACCACCGCCTCTGTGAGGGAAAGCCTGGGGGGCAGGCGGAGCTGGGGCCTGTGTGGGTGGCGGGGGACGGCGGGAGTGAGGGGTGGCCCTCGGCTCCTTCCCAGGGCCTGCGGGGTCGCGCCCTCCTCTGCGGCCAGCCCGTGACCTTGTTGCCCCAAACAGTGTCCTAAGAAAGTTGAACTTCGCTGAGGTTGAGGCACAGTGGACAGCCCCCTCCCCCCTGGTGCTTCTCGAGCTGCTCGCGTCAGGGGTAGCAAAGGAAAGTCTGTTTCATTGCCTGTATCCCGAGGCAGAGGTGCTTCAGAGCGCGGCCCCCGCCTGGGCCGCTAGAGAGGAAGGCAGAGGGCGAAGGGTGGGGGAGGGAGAGGAGGGGCTGCAGGACCCCACGGGCGCGGACAGGGGTCCAGCACCCAGAGCTCCCCGCGCGGCCCCTCCCTTTCAGCTCTCCTTGTTTGCGCCTGTCCTTGCTGCCGTGGCGGGATGTGCTGTCCCGACTCCCCTCCGGGCTCCGTGAGGATTTGGCCCAGCAGCTGGGAGCGGGAGGATGGAGAAGTCAGGTGGCGTGAACGGAAGCGGGAGGCCGCCCTGGGCTGGGAGGGGCACACCCCGCGGTGGCAGAGGGGCAGGTGGGCACCCTGGGCCTTGGGACTGGGACTCCTGGGGGATGCTGCGCACGAGCTGGTCACGTCCCACAGGCCCTGCTGGCTGGGGCTGGGCCAGGCGGTGCCCTGAGCTCCCTCTGGGAGACAGCAGAGGCCCAGGTGATGTGCCCAGAACCCCTGAGTGTGTCAACTCCCTCTGCACCTGGGGCCCCAGGGGCAGGGGCAGGGGCGTGGCGCTGGCCCCGAGGGCAGAGGCAGGTTCCCTACTGCGCGGGGCGCGCGGGGTGGCGGCACTGTGTCCCGAGGCCCGGCTGTGGGGCTGAGCCCCGTGTCTTCACCGCCAGGCCAGGCAGAGCTGCGGCTGCGAGGTGGGAGATCCTGGCCCTGCCCTGGCTGTGGGCAGAGAGGGCACAGCTGGGGGTGAAGGGAAGGCTTCTGGGCCGGGGTGGAGGAGGGGTGGGGTGGAGCAGGGGGCCCAGGGCAGCAGCCAGGCTGCAGGGGCCCGGGTCGGGAGGCTGGAGCCTCGGGGGGCGGCCCTCTGCACCGCCGGCCCTGGCCCCACTCCTGGCCTGCTGCCCCTTCAAAGGAAGGAAAATACCCATGGCCTGAAGTTTCTCTCTTAAATTTTTGAAGCAAAAATAGCTCAAGTTGTGCCTCAGGAAGGGGAAGGACCTGCCGAACAGTTCTGACATGAAGAAGTCTCTGCCGGAGGACAGAGCACGCCGGCTGGCAGCCCAGCCTCCCTGTCCTGAGCCGACTCCCGGGCTGCGGCTCCGCTCCCCTCTCTGGGGCGACATCCTGGGGGGGTGGGTTGGGGTTTTGCCCCAGCCCTCCTCACCCCATCTGTCAGTGTCGCCCGCCCCTCTGGTCTGTCCTGGGGCTCCTTGGGGCAGCCTTTACTGTGTCCTCCCATCGCCTGCCCCAGCTTACCAGGCCGGGCTCGGCCTTTGGGGTGGCTGTCCCCAGCTGGGCAGCGCCTCAGCTGATGCTGTGGCTCCGACGCCGGACCCTCCACCTGGTGCTGGTGCTGGTGCTGGTGCGGCCCCCGGGCCGGTCTCCTTCAGTGCAGCCTGGTCCCTGCAGCTGATGGCTCGTCGCCCCGTGGGGGCCCTGACTGTGGGGAGTGGCCGTCGGCTGGACTGACATGCCCGTAGTTGCAGCCTCCCTAAAGGCGGCAGCGACCCTACAAGCAGGGAGCGGCCACGGCGTAGGCGGCCCGGGACGGCGCTCGGTCAGCGTGGGTGACCTTCTACACGGTGTCCCAGGTGCCGAGACGTGGAGAACAGCAGCAGCAGTGCTTTCAGCGTCCCTCTACACCCGCGCCCCCCAAGCCTAGGAAGCCATTTCATCAGCTCCTCTGAAAATGAAAACTCTGAGAGGCAAGCCGTGTCCTCTGCGCGCGAGTCAACTGCGTCTGAGCACTGGGGCAAAGTCCAGTGTGCAAGCCTCAGGCCAGCGTGACTGTTCCCTTCCCCTTTACTCTCTTAGATGGGCGACTCCCCCATCCTGGGATGGGCTCCCCAGTCTTCCTCGTGGGAAGACGGGGCTCAGCGGCAGCTGCTTTGGGCGCCTGAGAACGGCGTCAGAAGTCCCCTGTGCAGGCGTGGGGTCGTGAGGCCCGCCGGCCCAGGCTCCCTGTCTTTCTCCTGTGAGATGAGGAGGTGGGTGGGGGTTGCAGGCTTGGGTGGTGAGGGGCACGGCGGTGCCACAGGCCATGGCTGCGGGTGTCGGGTGGGGACAGTGGCAGGGCTCCCCTCTGCTGGAAAAGAAAGACCGCTGGCCCCAAGGGCCACTGACTAGGCCTGCAGAGGACAGGAGGCTCAAAGACAGGCGGGTTCTGAGGAAGCTATTTTTAATGGCTTCCTGCAGAGGGGAGCTTCTGGGCCCGCGCTTCTGGCACCTGCTGCCCTCTACCCCCACCTGCTGGTGGACGGGAGAGGCACCTCTGATGGCGTGGGCGGGGCGTGCCTCTGGAGCAGCGCTGACACCTGAGGGGAGCAGGAAGGTTCTGGAACAGAACAAACACGCTCCTTGTGAAGGGGGGGGGGAGGGGTTCTTTGTAGCTTCCTGTGGGGCGTAGCTGTGGGGATGGTCACCCCACCCCATACCTTGGCCAAAACGTCAGCCGGAGTCTAACCTACTCGGGTACCTGCCCAGCAGCCAGCAGGCGGGACCCAATGGCCAGAGTGCCCAGCTCTGCCGCCCCCTGCTGGCCCTGGCTGTCACCTCACCGCAAGGGTGGCCCAGCACAGGTCTGTGGTGCAGAAGGAGCCCCAGGGCACTGGGCACAGTCCCTCCTGTTCTGGCCTGACCGTGGAAGGCACGGAGGGGCTCCCTGGCGCCACTGGCCCTGTCACTGGGAGGCCCTGGCGGGGAAGGAGCCTGGCGGGGGCGGGAATCACCGAAAGTCAGAGCTGTTGTTTTACGTTAAAAATACAACCATCGTGAACTAGAATGGATTGGGGTGAAGTGGCAGCGTAGGAGGACAGAGGTGGATTGTCTGTCAGAGGAACAGCGGTTCAGCAACCTTGGCTCCTGCCAGGCTCCCGCCGGAGACCCTGGAAAGGCCGACAGTCGCTACTTGGTGCCTCCGGGAGGAGCCGAGGACTCTGGGAGCATGGAGCAGCATGGAGCCGGGCAGCCCCGCGGAGGCGAGCCAGGCAAGGACGTCGCAAACCAACGCTTTCACCTTCGCTCAAAACTCTTTCCCCTGGTAACTCTCTGGTTCATGTCTGGATCAAAAATTGGCCTCTCACCGGGAAGCTGATCCTGACAGGAGGCCTCCGCCCGGAGGGTCTGCCGCCATCAGACAAGAGGAGGTCGTCATTGCTTTTTCTTTTATTATAAAAGTAAAATAAAAAATAGCATTTGTAAATTCAACATTTTGTCCTTTAAAGAATTTGATCTAAAAACATATTTACAATAGCAAAATGCAGGGAAGGGGGACGGGACCATCTTCAGCAGTGATTGAGAGTGGGTTTAAATACGGACGTGCAGGTCTCGCTCCAATCAAGAGATGAGCACAGGAGGAGCGCGGTGAGCTGCTTTATTGTACACAGTGACCCGCCTTGGGCGCCGCCGTCCCCGTCCCCGTGGACACAGGGCCGAGCGTGGGTGCCGGACGGCGCTGGAGGGCCTGCAGGAAGCAGACGGGGAAGCAAGGGCGCCCCCAGCAGCGGAGCGGCCACGCCCGCTGGGACTGTGGGTAAGTGAGCCCCAAAGGTCTCGTGAGAATGCAGGGAAGCAGCCCCGTCTCCGGGAGCTGGACAAGGGGGTGCTGGCTGGTCGTGCACCTCGGAGGCTCTGTCCGGTCTCCCCGCCGACCCTCAGGCGCCAGAGCTAGCAGTGGGTGGTGCTGGGACGGCCGGCAGCTAAATCTTGCCCTCGATGGGCGCTTCCTGCACGTAGCCGTGGGGCGCCTTGCCGAGCCCCAGCAGGGCGCCCCCGCTGGTCAGGGCCTCGGTGAAGCTGAGCCTGCGGAAGGAGGTCTCCACGCCGCTGTCACAGATGCTGTCCTCCCGCTCGCCTGGGGGAGGGGACCCGGGTGAGCGGGGCGGGGCCGCGGCAGGCCAGCCCGCCGCGCCCAGGTGGTGGTCTCAGCCCGGGTCACCCCACCCGAAGGAGGGGGAGCCCGAGGCCAGTTCACGGCTGGCGCGTTAGGGACTGGCTCAACCGCCCGCCTGTCCTGGGCTCTGAGGACGGGCCTCGCAGGGAGAGGCGCTTCAGCCTGGGCCCGCGTCGCGGGCGTGCTGCTTTCTCAGACAAGGGCTTCTGCTCTTGCGAGGCGCGTGGGCCCCGACGGGTGACGGGTGCTGTTCCCTCCCCGTGGAGTGCCCGCCCCAACAAGTGGCCACGGGGTGGCCTGCGGGCTCGCCGAGGCCCCATGGACGCTCAGGCCGGGGAGCGGGGGAGCCCCGGGGGCGGCCGCGAGAGGGAGGAGACAGCGCCACATCGGGCGCTGAGGATGCAGGTGACACCAACCCCCCTCCGCCAGGCCCCTGAGCCCCGCGTGTGAGGCGGGGTGCCTTCCAGAGAGAAGGCCAGATGTGGGGAGAATGGAGACCAGGCTGCACCCAGACGCCCTCACCCTGATTGTGTGGTGGGCCAGACCTGTGCCCGCTACGTGGGGTGTGGAGAGCCCGGTGACCAGCGGGGGGCCAAGTGCACGGGGCTGTCTGGGGTACGAGGGGGACCCCGAAACAAAGCCCAAGCAGGAGGGTGGGATGGGGCAGAGGAGGCTGAGGGGCTGGAGGCCCAGGTATTGTGGGCAGGGGCTCAGAGGTAAGCAGCACTGTGCCGGGGGGGCCCTGTGGTGTCTGGGGTGAGGGGGTGCAGCCCGGGGAGGGCACAGCAGTCTGTGACGAGCGCCCAGACTCTGGCCTTCGGCGTGTGTCCTGAACCACACGGGAGGGGGTCCCGGAGACGCCCTGCATGGGGGGGGGGGAGGTGGCGGGGAGACGCAGGGTGATGCCCACAGGGCAGACACCCCGTCCCATGCCTGCCTTACCTATCTGTGGGCTGGTGCAGGAGGGCAACAGTGGCGGGGCGTGGGCCTGCGAGGGGGTCTTCTTGGGGTCGGGGGCGGCGGGGCAGAAGGCCGCCTGGATGACGTCGATGGCCTCCGTGTAGCCCATCTGTGTCAGGGCCTCCAGCAGCTCTTTGATCGTCCCCCCAGAGACCTGCAGGGAGAGACTGTGCTCAGGGGGAGCCTAGGTGGAGGCAACAGCTGGACGGGGGCTCCTGTGCCAACTCCAGGCTGGAACCCCAGAGCAGAGGCTCTGTCCTTGGAGACGGGCCCCTCCCTCCCGGGACGAGGTGTCGCCCGCCCCTGCCGGGAGGGCAGCCTCACCTCATAGTTGTCCATGAGCGTCTTGGAGGGGGCGGGGCTCAGCCGGAAGGCGTTGTTCAGGACCCCCAGACCCAGTTTCTGGGCCAGAGCGGCCCAGTTTTTGTCTGGGTCGGGGGTTTCCAAGAGCCTGTAGAGCTGCAGCTTGGCCTCTTCGGTCAGCTGCTTCACATCGCCTGCGGGGACGGGACCCAGCGTGTGGACCCTCTGCCCTTCCCGGCCCGGCCCCCACGCGGGCAGTGGGGAGTTGGCTCCCCACGACTCACCCTGGGCCAGCAGGTCGTCGGGCGAGGAGTCCTGCTGGTAGGGCTTCCCGTTCAGTATGTCCCACACCTGCAGGAGGACGAGCAGGAGCGCTCACGGTGAAGGCGCCAGGCCCAAGAGCGCAGGGCCGGGAACGCGGCCTGCCGGGGCCAGCTGGCGCCCTTCTGAGGCACAGAGGCCGTCCAGCACGGCCCAGCGAGTGGGCTGAGCCCGGAGGGCTGGCGTGCCAGCACCGTGGGGGCCCCTCCCCAGCGCAGGCCTGTGAGGATGAATGCCCAGACCGGCCCCCGCGGTGCGCGGGTTTTCAAGGCCCGGCGGCGCTCTCCGTGAGGGGCGCAGCCGAGTCAGACCGCAGGAGGCAGCGGCCGCTGCCGTGGACGGCCCGTGTGCCGAGGGCGGGGGAGCCGGCCGCACAGGCAAGGGAAGTGTGTGGCCGCGGGTGGTCGGGCTGTGCAGACCCAGAGCGCCGGGCTGCAGGGAGCGTGGATGCTGTTCTTTTTGGGAAGTACCGAACCCCTTGGGTTTGGTTTTTTTAGGTGCAGAAATCATTCCCGAAGTTCTCAGCGAACCCTGACTCCTCCCAGCTTCCCGCGGTCCTCGGGGGAGGGCTGGCGTGAATTCAGAACGGGAGGCGCTTACGGGGCGTGGCGGTCCTCTCCCTTCCCACGGCCCCCCATGTGAGGAGGCCAGCGCTTCCGCTCCCAGAACTCTGCTGACCTAGATCTTTCGTGGACAGGTTTCTCGGGAGAAGCTCTTGAGGAAAACGCGCCTTAACACAGGGAGAGGCTCACGTGTTGGGAGAGCAGACCCGGGAGCCCCGGCATCCCGGCGCCCCTGGGGAAGCCCACGGCCAGGCCCACCCACCTGCGAGCTGGCGGCCATGTCCAGTGGTGTGGTTCCGGGCACCACGCCTTCATCCTCCCCATCCGCTTCCCAGGAGCCGTCCGGGTCGTACAGGGGCTCGAAGTTCTCCACGAGGGGGTCTGCCCCTGCAAAGCGAGGCCCAGGCAGCCGTGAGCCCGACCCACACCCCGCTGCCCGCGCGGGGTCGGCTCCCACACGCAGAGACACCTCTCCTGGGCTACCCTAACTGGTGTGTCTCATTCCAGCCCGTGTTGCCAAGGACGTCTCCAGAAACGCTAGGATGACTCCGGCTCTCTCAGATGGCAGGGTGGGTGTCAGGGAGCCTGAGGTGGACAGGGACAGAGCACCCTCAGGTGCTGGATGCCCCACGACAACTCGCTCAGGCTTACCGCTGGGCCTGGCGCTGCCTTAAACTACAGCTACCAGTAAGACCCTTTTTGGGCAAGTGGGGGAGGGGCAGGGAGACCCTGAGTACAGCCCCAGGGGCCTGGGGAGGGGTTGGCGGTGCGAGGGCCTGTGTGAGGACTGGCAGTGCCTGGCGCGTCGTAGGCCCACACCCACCAGCGGGCTCCGCGCCTCACTAGGACTTTTCAGTGCAGGGCCTGGCGGCTGCTTCCTGCACTTCAGCTCCTGAGGGACCTGCTTGCAGGCGCAAGTTCTGACTCCGCCCCATGAGCCTGTTCGCTGGGGACCGAGCTGCCCAGCGTTCCACAGGGACGGACGTGCAGCTCTAAGGTACTGTCATAGACGTCGGCCTGGCAACAAGACGCCACAGCACCCCCTGGGGTGCCTGCCCCTCCTGGGCCTCACCTGCTGCTTTGAGCAGAGCCGCCAGCCGTGTGGACCCTCTTCCGGCTGCTATGTGCAGAGGGGTGGTGCCGTCATAGGTGGTGCTGTCCACGTTGGCCTCTCCCTGGAAACGGCCCCCAAGCAGGGTCAGGGGAGGCTGGCGCCCTCCTGCCCTGCCCCGCCCGCGTGGCCCCTGGGGTCCTGGCCGTGGAGAGTCCGCAGGGAGGGGCCGGCCTACAGCGGAGCACCCGCAAGCCGCCCAAGGCAGGGGCCCCCTAAGGCTGGCTCTCGCCAGGGGCCCCGGTCTCCACAAAGGTCTGGTGTGGAGCGGAGCCCCCGCCCTCACCTCCAGGAGCAGGCAGCCTGCCAAGGAGATGTCATCGCGCTCCGCGGCCAGGTGCAACGCCGTGCGCCCCGACTTCCGCTCCTGGGCGTTGACGTCGGCGCCCGCGGCCAACAGCAGCAGCAGGCAGGACAGGCTGCTGCTCATCACGGCCGCGTGGATGGCGTTCAGACCTGCGGCCGGGCGGGCACCGGAGGGTCACACGGAGCGGGGTTACCCGGCCCGGGTGTCGGGCAAGGTGCCGCAAGCCCACACCCCCAACGCACAAGCCCTCTGCGCCCTTTGCTCGGCTCGCCCTGACTTCTAGTCGCCTCCAAGAGGCTCAGGCACCGAGGGGTGGGCCTCACCTTCCCCGTTGGGGTGGTCTAGCAGCAGGGCCGCCTGCTGGTGCTTGAGGAGGACGCTCAGGACTTTGTCGTGGCCCCCCGCGGCGGCCAGGTGCAGCACAGAGTTGCCCCCGCGGTCCAGCAGGCTCAGGTCAGCCCCCGCCCACAGCAGGTCCTGCACCACAGCCTCCTGCTGCGTCACCACGGCCAAGTGCAAGGGCGTCTGTGAGGAGAGAGGCCAGACATCCTGATCCGTGGGGGGGACAGGGGAAGGGAGGGAGGGAGGGAGGAAAAGAAGTCGCGGGAAGGAAGAAGACAGCACTGCCCCACCCCGCAGCAGCGGCTCTCAGTCCATCCGCCTGCTCCGCCCCCCACGGTCTCCGGTGGGTCCTCCCCGCCCACCTCTGGCCTGCACCCGCTTCTTACCTGCCTAAATAAAGACATCTTTACAGACAGACAACCCCACGTAGTGTGTGCACTGGTCTGCGCCACCCCCTGGCCAGGAGCCCACTCCAGGGACAGCCGCGGCGCATCTGCTGTGAGGTGAGGAGGACCCCCCCCACCTCTGCCCTCAACGGGAGACACCTGTCCTGTATGCGCAGGGGTGCGGAGGGGCGCTGGCACATGCCAAGGGCGGCATCCAGCCCGGAAGGTCAGGGAGTCACCGTGGGTGGGAGGGAAGGAGAAAATGAGAACACAGAGAGCAGAGACGGGGGCCTGGTGGCCGGGGGGCGAGGGAGCCGCCCCCGGGGAGCCCCACCCCTGCTGCCTGTGGGTCCCGGGGAGAGCCCTGCTCAGAGCTGCTCCGCCGTCGGCCCTGAGCTGGGCCCGGCTCCTCGCGGCCTGCTGCGTGCACGCCGAGCGCCGCTCCCCTTTCTCGGGCCCTCCACCCACCGTAATTTGCGCGTTCTTGGAACGCGCGTGGGCAACTGCAACGCGCTCGTCCACGGTAGCTTTTCAATTTCAAATTTTTTCAGTTTCGATTTTCGTTGTCCTGAGACGTAACAGATTTACTCTGGGATGTCCCGGAGCGCCTCAGGTGGGGGTGTGCACGCCGCGGGGGAGGGGCCCGGGGGTGGACTTCACACACCCGAGGGCAACCTGCGGCTACCGCGGCCGTCACCCCTCGGTGGCCGTGAGGAGGATGTGAGGTGACTGACTGCGACGCCCACCTCAAGATGCGCACCAGTATCTACTTGTGCCACACGGCCAACGCTGCAGCTCGCGCCAGGCGTCAGCTCTGCCTCGCCGCGCAGGCAGGAAGGGAACAGCCCCACCGACTCCTGAGCTTGCAGCCGCCGCTCACAGCGGCCTGGGGCTCACCTTGAGCACGGCCCTGGCCCCATGCAGATGGGGATCCTGAGGCCCACAGCGGCCGACCCGGATAACGGGGTGTCAAGGGCCTCCCACAAAGAGCCCTGTGACTCTGGTGCTGCTGCTGTCACAGCAGATCATCTTTTGTGCCCCCCCCCATGCCCCCACTTACCTGGTACAGGTCATTTCTCATGTTGATGATGTCATCAGCCACCAGGCCGCACGTGACCTCCAACAGGTCCCTCACGAGCTGCGCGTGCAGGTGGATGATGGCCAGGTGTAAGACGCTGCAGGGGACACAGCAGCCGCGGTCAGCCAGAGGGTGGCCAAGCCCACCCCACACCCCATGAGGCTGCAGACTGAATCTGGCCCTCAGACCTTGTTTTGTCTGCACCCCAAATGTTCTGGACCCACAAAATGTCGAGTCTGAGGGGGTCCTGCTGCTCGCTCCCCAGGCTCTGAGCTGAGCACCTGGGGGCCACGGAGGTGTGAGCCTTGGATGGGGCTCGGGGCAGAGACCCCAAGGGCTGTTTAGAAAGCTGCAGCTAGCAGCTGCCCCTCTGGAGTGCAGAGTGGAGGGTTTCTGGCACCTTCTGGGACCCCGGGAAGATGCAGCCAGGCTCTCAACTGCAGCAGGACATTCTGGAGGCAAACTCCTGACTTCCACGTGTCCCCTCTGCCTGGACAACGCCTGTACTGCCCTTCTCCCAGCTCCCAGCTCCTGCGCTCAGTCGTCCCCCACTTCTACATCATGCAAATCACCCCCCAAGTCGCTGCATCTATGTGTCTCGCCCGGGCCGCCCCGCGCCGTCCTCACGATGGTGCTCCGGCCTCAGCCAACAGAACTCAGACACCATGAGGAGGAGGGACGTACCTGGGGACGCACCAGGGGGCAGATGCCTGTGGTGCCCCCGCCCTAGGACCCCTGGAGCACTTCTGGGACCCTGCACCGCGGCCGTGGCCTCGGCCTGTTCCCGGCCATCCCCCTCCTGAGGCCTGCACTGTGTCCAGCACCAGGGTGGCCTCCCTCTCAGACACGAGGCGGAGACACGGGTCTGACGCAGCACGGCCGCCCCACCAGCTGCTGCCATGGTGCCGAGCCCAGGGCTGCTCTCGCCCCTCGGGCCTCCTGCCCGCAGTGTGTGCGCAGTGGACGTGCAGCATCCTAGGAGGGCCGTCCTCTAGGACACCAGCGCCCCTGCGCTCAGCCACGTAGGGCTCACTTGGGGTGAAGGTGGCACAGGGGCCTCGAACTCAGTTACCGTCTGATCTCCGGAAAACACTGTCATACGGCGCAGAGACACACGGGGCGGCAGTTCCCTCACCGAGGCCCGCATGAGTCAGCTCCCCAGAAACTCCTGCCACGGCCGGGGTGCTGAACCTGGGGGATGGCTGAGCCTGTGAGACACGTGGTGCCGGCCCTGATTTTACCAGCAGGCTGCCTGGCTCCTCTCCCCGGGTGGGGGCGCAGTGGCACCCCATCCTTGTCACTCGGCGGGAGGCAGATGGGCTGTTTAGGAACATGCCGGCCTCGGGGCTCATAGCATGTGCTGCTGTCTGTACACAGAGGCCGGAACCCGAGCCCTCGAGACTTGTCCCCAGAGAAGGGTCCCGGTGGGGACGCGGGCAGGGCACGGCTGCTGCCCACCCTGCCTGCTCATGGGTCATGTTAAGACGGAGGGGGATCCCAGTGACTGGGGAGGGGGTGTCGCTACCTGAAGGGCGGGCTCGGGGGCCCAAGCTTCACTGTTATCACTCACAAAGCAAATGTCATTCCTGTAAACACACCCTGGTCTGGTAGTGATGGGGTCGGTGGCACGCTGGCACAAGAAAGCCCGTCCCGCACACGCAACCCAGGTGAGCGCTGCAGGAAGCCAGCAGACACGCGCCCAGAGCGCTGCTCTTCTGCAGAGGTGCTTCCGGCCAGCACCGGCAGCGCACGTCCCCTCCGGCCAGCACGCCTGCCGGGTCTCCCCTGAGCCAAGCCGTCTTACCTGTCCCCGTTCTCGTCCTGCACAGCGGCGAGGTGGCGCTGGACCGCCAGCAGCATCTTCACATCCCCGGTCACCGCGTAGTCGAAGAGGGCGTTGGCGTGCCTCTTGGCCAGCTGCATGGCCTTCTCCAGGAAGAGGTGATCTGCAAGGCAGCCGCCACAGTCACGGCGGCCCCCCGCCACTGCAAGACCCGCACCCGCCACCTTCCAGGCCCGGACCCTAAGCGATGGGGGGGGGGGGGGGTGCTGCTGTGGACTTGGGCCCATGTCTGCCAGGAACAGGAAGCCGCTTGAGGCCTCAATGGAAGAACCAGCTCCAAGCAGCAGTGACGGGATTAACTGTCTTGTGAAATAATGCTTTCCGGAGTTGGGAACAACTCCCGTCAGGCACTGGGACAAAATTCAGCCAGGAGCCAACACTGGGCTGTGAGGTTTGCTTCTGAGGGCGGGGCGGCAAGGGCGTTCTCTGAGAACAGCTTGCAGGCCCAACCTGTGGCTTTCCTGCAGCCCTTTAGCTAAGTGTGACTTGCCTGTTTTTAACAGGGTGTGAAAAATAAAGGGTCTGGTGAGCAGAGACGGCACGTGCCCACCCGCCTGGCTATGTACTGTCCTAGAGCAAAAGGGTCTGCACAAGGCAGGGCAGCAGGTCCGGCACGTGCTGAGGTGCAGTGCTCGCGGGAGGGTCGCCCCCACCCCCGCATCGCCCACTGCCCACCCCCACGGGGCAGCCCAAGAACCCCAGGGGCCACCAGACCCCTGTGTGGAGGGTCAGTGGCAAAGTCGAGTCTCGCTCGCCATAGCACCGAGCACTGTACTCAGGTGACCCGGGCACAGCAGCGAACGGAGGAGCTAACATGCTTAGCACCTTTGTCTGAGCGTCTCCCCCCTCAGCTGGCGTCGCCCTGCCCCCCCACATATCACATACCTGAGAACCCAGTGCTGCCCTCCTGCATGCCCACTGGGCCGGGCACAGCGCCCCCGAGACCCCCGCAGGCCGACGCCCGCTCCTCTGTAGCTCCAGGGACCTTCCCAGGGAGAGAGACCGCCTCCCGGTCGCACGTCCTGTCACAGTCTGCAGGGTCACTTTTAGACGGGGGGTCTGAGGACCCTAAGAGGAAAGCAAGAGCATGAGCTTCCCCAGGACCCCATGCCAGTGAGCCCAGATGGCACCGGTGGCTGCCAGGGGAGAGGACAGCCCAGTCACCGGGCCGCGCCTGGCGGAGCCATCTTAAAGCCTTGCTCCTAAGACACCTTTGTTTCTAACGCTTCTAAAAACTTACATCGTCTTGGGCTTGCGCAGGGGAGACGGGTCTAAAAGTCTCTGTGAGCTGCAGGGCAGGGGGGGGCGCCATCCCCTCCCCCCAGGGCAGTGCATCGTTCTTCCCCCAACCACAGCAGGCCAGCGCCCCAAAGCCACGGGCGTGGGGCGGCCCTGAAGGGCGAGGGAGCCCGTTCCCCTCCAGGTCACTGACAGGAGGCGCCTTCCGTGAGCAAAGGGCACCTGTGCGCTACGCAGGGAGGAGACGCAGCCCTCCCTCGCACGGCCCCCGTGCACTTCAAGCGGCCCACAGGCCTGCCCGGAACAGGCGCCGGACGCCCAGGCGTTGCTCGGCCGCGGGCACCCAGGCCCGGCGACCCCCCCGCCCCCCGCCCCCCGCGGGAGCGCGTAACGGGAGAGCGCGTCAGCACGAGACGCCACGTGTCCAGACACGGCTGGGACTGCGCAGGGGGCTGCGGTGAGCCTGCTGCTGGGGCGTGTGAGCAAGAGGGCCACTCCTTGTTCGGGTTCTTTCCTCCCCCGCTTGCGCCCCTCACAAAGCAGATACATAGGCACCAGCAAGTTCCGGGAGGGCTCTCCGCCACTTTCTGGGGCAAGGGACTTCGGTGCTTTATTTGCATGTATCTTTTTTCTTCTAATCATGATTTACGAAATACCTTTTGGGATTATTTTGTTCTTCCTCCAGTACTAGAAAAAAAGCTTTCCTTACCGTGCTTCATGCCAGCATTCGATTTCGTGGCTCCAGGGTGGAAGGAGATTCCGCCGTACGTGGGAAAGCCGTAGTGCGGGAAGCCGTACCCTGAAATGCAGGCCAAGCGGGTGACAATGCTGAGGAGGGGACAGAGCCGCCACCTTGCAGGGGAGAGGAGGGGCGCCCAGGACGCCCCGCCGGCTGGGGGAGCTCAGACCGCGCTGGGGTCTCCGACTGAGTGTGGGGACGCGGGAGCAGCCGGGCAGACGGCACGTTCTCTACACCGCGGTCTGTCTGTGAGGAGTCCAAGTTACGACAACACCATGGCTGGCGGGCTCAGGTGGCGCTTTATATAGACTACAGGAAACCACGTCCACACGTCGTCTGTGTCACGGGGGGAGGCACCCAAGGAAGTAAGGGGTTAAGCTGGCATTTAGGAACCACGGCGCGTGAAGTCTGTCACACTGAAGCGACGCTGTTCCTGTGAGGCAGAAGCTGCACCACGGCCTGCACGTCACCATGACGTGCTGACAAGCACCCAATCCAAGCAGGTGGACGGGAAGCCACCCAGAGGGCCCTGGGCGGGCCAAGGGGAGACGGCAGCTGATCCCAGTGCCATGCGCGGAGGCAGGAGCAAGGGGTCTCTCTGAGGGCGGGGCTCGGAGCCCCCACCCGCTGCGACGAGGGTGGTGTGGATGGAACCTGCCTCTTTGCAGAGGTGACACTGGAGACTACTGACTCAACATTTCACCCCGAGAACTGTCCCAGCCCTCCACGCAGACGCCCCACAACCTCAGGAGAGAACCACCCTGTGACGAAAAGGTCTGGACGCCCCGAGAGCCTACCTGGGCCCGTGCCCCCGGCCCCGCTGCTGCTGCTGCTGCCGAACATGCCCCCACCCCCGGGGCCGGGGCCTGCGCCACCACCGAAGCTGTCGGAGAAGTTGGGCATGAGCTTCTGCCGCTTGCGCTGCACCTCCTCCTTGTCTGTGGAGAGACAGGCGAGCGTCGGTGGCGCCCCCGCTCCAGGCAGGCCCGCGCCCGACGCCGTTCCTGACACACTTAGGGAAACGCAGAGCGGAGGGCAGGGAGGAAGGGACGCCAGCCCGGGAAGCACCCCGGGCACAGCCTGGAGGGGACCCAGGTCATCCGCTCCCTGGGCCTGCGGCTGCCATCTTGTTTCCTCTTTCTGTGGCTCTTGCTCTGATCTCCTCCTCCCCTCTGGGCTGGAGGAATCTCGAGTGTCTAGACAGCTGCCGTGGTCTCCCCAACAGCGCCATCCCCACGCGCCCTAGTCCTGACCGGCCAGCGCCAGTCAGGTCAGTGTTCGCGCACAGGAAGGTCTGCACCTGCTTCCAGCTCTCGGAGCTCCCGTCCCTCAGGGCTGCAGGCAAGGCCGCGTGCCCGATGACCTCAAGGCCATCCAGCTGCCATTGAAAGGCGAAGCGGGGAAAGCGGGGCGCGAGGGCGCTTAACGCAGCGTTGACAGGACCGTCCAGGCGTGCCGGAAAGAGGCCGGCCGGCCCGGGTCAGCGCTGACCGGAGCCCGCGTCCCCAGGGCAGGTCTTGGGCGCAGAAGCTCCGACCACTTCCTCTCGCGGAGGTCTTGGAGCGCTGATGACACTTCTGCACGCAGGGCCCCCTAACTAGCCCTCACTGCCCCCGGGAAAGTGACTAGGCAACAGGTCTTGCGGAAACCTGCCACGCAGCGCACAGGGGGCGCGGGCGGCTGCCACATCTCCGGAGTCGGGTCCGCCTGCCACTCTCCCTGCGCAGGGAGGCTGCGGGGCCTGCTGGACACCCCTTCTGACTTACACAGCAGTGGTGTTCACTGGCTGAAGTTCGCTGTGAAACTGAATTTTTAAAAGTCCACTTAAAAGTACCAACTATCCCATGCCAGGAGGACTTCAGGAAGAGGAGAAACGAAGACAGAGCCTGCCGCCCACGTGCTTCAGCAAGGAAATGCAGTCTTGGTCCCTGCGTCACTCAGTCACATCCCAACCCTCCCGACGGGGCTGCCTAGCCCCTCTCCGACCCCGAATACGTCTCCACCCCAACCAGCCCCGTGTCTGAACCCACCTTCTCCGCTTCTGGCCCTGAGTCCTCTGCTACCCTCACCATGTCTCACCTGGGCTCTCACTGCTTTTCTGACTCACTGCAGCCAGATGCCTCCCCGTGTCTGCACGAGCCACCCACGGCGTCACCCTACGACACAGGCCTAGCCGCTCCTTCCCACGCACCCCCCGAGCTCCCTGCCCGCCACCCCCGGGTGGAGACACGCGCCTCCCTTGCGGGGCTCCAGCAGCCCACCTCGAAGCCTGTAGCCCAAGGCGCGTGGCCGCTGAGAGCTGCTGGAACGTGTCAGGCCACCCTTCTCACTCTAACTACCCGGAGGAGGCATCCATGACCCCTGCAGGTGCGCCTCGTGGGGAAGAAGCGCCCTGTCGTTTCCACAGCCCGGCCGACTCCCCGCTGACCTCAGCGCCTGGGCCCCAGTCAGTAACAAGGATGCTCACATCACAGAGCAATTCTCGAGTGTCTCCATCTCCCACCAGCTTGCAGGAAGTAACGTTACTTTAAAAGATCAGACTTAATCCCATGGCCCTAAGTAGGACATCACTTGTTTCTTCTCTAAAAACAAGAAGCAAGGGCCCCGGGGCCGGGTTCTGGGAGCTGCTGTGGGGCGCGTTACTGGGACCAGCTCCCGGGCTAAGCCGTGTCACCTTTGATTTCCGGGTAGTAGAGAAAAGGCTTCGGCTCGCTGGTTTCCAGGTCAGATTTTCTCCGCAGCTGGACGAACACAGAGGCCGGCTTGGTGATGTTGATGTCCTTGTACTTTGGAGTCTTGAAGACAATGGCGAACTGCGAACACAAAGACCCAGGCGTGGGGCAGGACGGCCGTCGCCCCAGTGAGCCGCCCCTCGGCGGCCGCACCCGGGTTGGGCACAGCGCACTGCACGGGGCCTCGGAGCTGTGGACTTGTGCCCAGCTGCCTTCGTGACGTCGCAGCGCGAGCCCAAGCCAGGGGACTGCAAGGATGATTTCACTTGTCTAATACTTCAAAATATTACAAACTTACATGAGTGAAACGCAATGCACACACACCTCCATCCTTCCAAGTCAGCCTCAGAAGTTTCCAAGGTCACTTAGAGGGTGTCAGAAAACCCGGTTGTGGAGAGGTGAGGATCGTGGGGCTCCCTCAGCCCACTGGGGGGCACATTATGCTCCAAGAGGCACCAAAGCAGGGCAGCTGCCTGCACTGCTGGGTGAGGAGGGCCCACGAGGCAGCAGACCCCTAAGGCGGCTCCCTTGTTAATTTCCGGGGTGCTAGAACTGTGGATGACTTCCCTTTTCAGCTTTATTCTTTGGCTATGTGATATATTCACTGGGATTAAGACTACAAAGCACAGAAAGGCATACTGTGGCATAAAGGGAACATTCCACTGCCTCTCTCCACCCCCGGTTCACGAAATCCCTACTATGAGCGGGTCCCCAGAGATCAGCCAGAGAATCATTAGTTTCTTATGCATGCTTGTAGCGTTTCTTTGTATGCAGACATGAACACAGAACACAGTTGTATATCTGCATTTTTAAAGACTAATGTGTCTGCACGACCTTTCTGTGGCTGTTCACTGACCGCTCTTTCTGCATGGTGACCGCGTGAGGTTCCAGAACTAAGAAACCCGCTGATTCATGCCCAATAACTGATGGATAATTAGATCATTTCCTTTTTTTTTTCCCCCCAAAAATATTAGTCCTCCCTTAGAGTAGGCCTGGAGTCCAGCATTTTCATCCCCTAGCCATGCAGACACCAGCCTCCAGGAGGAGACTCCTGCTTCCTCCACTTTTCATTGTCATCACTTCTTAACAGTTCTCACCATAGCTGACCGAGCAGAACACTGCTTGGCCCAGCTGTGTGCCCCGATCCCTGTATTGAAGCCCTACCCCCATGTGAGTGTATTTGGAGGCGAGATCTTTACAGAAATCAAGTGTAAGGAGCTCACGAGGGTGAGGCATACCAGGCCAGGGCTGTTGCTCTGGTCAGAAGATCGGTCCTTGGACTTTGACTGGACTTCGAGCCTCCACAACTGTGAGAAGACACGCCTGCTATTTACTTCACATTCCTGCCTTTTCATCTACCTAGTCTGTGTGGTTTTGATATGGTGGCCCACACATGCCAGGACAAACACTTGAAGCATTTCCACTAAAGGATCTAGGGGCCACCACGTTATGGGCCAGGTAATCAGAACCCCAATGACAGGTCTCACAGGCAATTTCTGCTCGAGTGGATCCATTAGTAGGGAACTTTTCTGGAAGGCCTGTGAGAGTCTTAAAAAATAGTTAGGCGACTTAAATATTTACAGAGTCTCCTTTTCCAAATATGGAAACTAAAACTTCAGCTTCAGCCAGCAGGACACGCCACGTCACCACCCACTTACCTGCCTGTGAACATCGGTCGGGGAGAAATCTCCAAATCCTTCCCAGACTCCGCCATTTTCCTCCTCTTCATAAAATCGAATCTGGATGTCATCTGTAAATGGTCACAGTCAGGCCAGGCCTTCCATGTGGGGCAATTATTAAGGAACACACTGAAAGTAAAACTGGCTCCAGATCCCGTCTACTACCTACCTACTATGCCGCTGAGAATGTAATAGGAAAATGACTTGTGAATCACTTAAAACTCTCACAAGTCATTGGTTTTTATCAGTCACAAAAATGAACCCCAAGTTTCACTTTCAATGACAAGAGACTAGATTTCTTTATTTGAATTTTCTTTCAATGAATGTTTGACCCTCCCGTGTCCCCATTTCTGAGCCAAAGCACTCCTGAAAAACATGGACAGTGAGTACTAGTAGAATCCCCAACGTTGGTGGCTTCACCACTTAGATCTGCATCATAATACTTTACTCCACAGGCAGACACTGTTCTGAGTGCTCTGCAGCTGTGTCTGTCTGTCTGTCTCTCTCTCGCGCTCTCTACATACATACTCTTTAATCCTCACAACAACTCTGAGATGGTGTCTACTGAGAGCCTCATTTTACAGAAAAGAAACTGAATCCAGAGAGGCCAGGGAGCTTATCCAAGGTTGAACAGCTAATAGAAAAGCAAGGATGTGAACACAGTACAGCTTCGTGCTGTGGAGTTTTACCCTCAGGCTCTTACACTCTCAGCTGTGCTGCTTTCCTAACCCATCTTGAGACGCTGCTGGAGACACGGTGAAGATCAAGTCTTTGGGTTAAAGTGGAATGCCTACATGTACTGCACTACTTTGGCCATGGCGTCCCCTTTCCGCAGGGGAGGGGCGATGTAACTGAGGCTGGCATCCCCTTGGGCTCGCGTCAGTCTCATAGGAAGGACGGCACTAGGGTCTTCCAAAGATGAAGTTTGCATTTCTGTTCAAATGAGATCTATGGAATACTGGGACCTGATAAAAGAGCATGTCCTGGTTCACTCCCTTGTCTTCAGATAAGACTGAATACTGAGCTGATCTAATTACTCACATTCTCCGAGCCAGGGACAGACTTCTCTTACTGAGCCATCCCTATGGCATGAAAGCCATTCAGACCCACACTGACAAATACTCAAACTGCGTTTACGCAAAGGATGCACCTAGGAGTCAGGTTCTGGAGGGGGCTGATATAAAGACATGCAGAGAAGGCCTAAACTCTTTGTGGATAAAGAGATACACCTCTACCTTAAAATCTTATCTCATTTTTTCTGACTTAACTCAGAGCACTTAGCCTAAGTTAAGAATGTTCCTGTTTTTAAACTCTAGTTTTTGCACGGAGGGGCTGCATTGAGTCAGGTATCTGCTGACTTTGAAATGCTCATTGTTAGTAGTGATAATATTCATTATCTACACATTGTATCGTATTTTTAAAATGAGTGCAGTTTCAGAAAATAATAATCTTACTTTTTGCTAATTGGTGGCTCTTACACTGTATGTAACTGAATCCAGACACCAAAGTTTAAAGTATAAAATACACTGAAATGTGACTGATGTAAGTGATCACCTCTTCACGTCTGTTGAAGTTTCAAAAAAAAAAAAAGAAAAGAGTTTAAAAAAGTAACAGATAATCTAGAAGAGGCGAGATGTGCAAATTTTTTGGGTTTTTATGGTGGAATGGGGACGTGACTGGGCCCATAGCCTTGAGAGATCACAGACACCGTGTGGGCCTATCTTGAGAGCGAGCGCAGGTTACCTTTCTGAACCTTGTCGCAGAGGAGGTAAATCTCCTCCCCTCCAGTGACGCAGCCCGCTGTCCTGTCCATCCTTACGATTTTCAAGTTGGACGCGTTGGGGGCTTCTGTCCACAGGAGAAGAACAGACGTCACGGTTTGTCCTCAGCACCCCAGGCCCTGGAGCAGGGCCCTGCCCTCAGCACCCCCACCTATAGCCACAGCGATCCGCCCTGCCCACGGCGCTCACAAGGGCCAAGCCAAGCACAGGCCGCACATCCTCAGAGCGCTCCCTGGCCAGGCCACACCCCACCCACAACGGGAGGGTGGGAAGGGCAGTGATTGCTTCTCCCTCTTACACTCAGTGGGTGACCCCAGAAACCAAAGTGGGCCTGCTGTGCAGGAAGCACCAACGCTGGTGGATTTGTGGAATCCAGCCAGGTTAGGACTCTTACCTCAAACTCATTACCATGACATTGCTGCCTCCACAAGAGCCCTAGACACTTTAGAAAAATCCACAATTTTCTTAAACTGTTAATTTTTATTCTACAGAAAAGAAAAGAAAGGAGCTGATGCATTTCCTTTCCGCAAACTAAATTAGGCTTCTATGTGGTTAGGGGGCAAAAAGTTTAACGTGGCAAGAGCATGCAGCTTCCGTCTTGTTTCCTCCAGCAGCTGCATCTCTACATGCTGTGTGGAGCCGCTGTCTATCGTTTGATACGTTTTCCACTTCCCTTTAGAGAAATCAGCCAGTTGTTGTCTTGAGCAGGGAGTTTTCTGTCTATGCCAAATTCTATAGCCTTTCTAGCCAGGGCCCTGAGTAAGCTGGCCTGGGGGACAAGCTCTTGCACACACGCCCACGAGCAGCGTGCGGGGTGGACGCTGGAGTTGGCTAGAACTAAAGAAAAACGTTCCCAGGAACTATCGACAAACCGAATTCGGGGGCCGCATACTGGCTCTGCTGCTCCTCCGTTCGGGGCACCTATCTCCCCAGATCAGCACCGGGCGAGTGGCTGAGAACAGCAGCCATGCTTCCTGGATGCGGCCTCAGACCCAGGGCAGCAAAACACCCTCACGGCAAGGAACCACGAGTAATAATGGGTTCCCGTCGCCCGTCCAGGGCTGCAACGCCCCGTGGAGGACACGGCAGCACAACTGAGCCCCTCGGCAAGTTCCACTTTGTGCCCAGACACCAGCTTTTCGGCTGGACCTGAGCCCCCCTTCTGGAGGTGAGAGCGGGCGGCTAGGTGTACGTCGGGGCCCGGCGGCTGGGCCGTCCAGACAGGCCGGCGGACACTCACTGCTGTCGTAGATGGGGTCGGACACCACCGGCTCCAGGCGCCGCGTGAAGCTGCCCGTGCTGTCGGGGAGGAAGGCTGTGAACATGAGCCGCACCACGCTCAGGTCCATCTCCTTGGTCTGCTGCAGGGCCGCCTGGCGGATGGTCTCCTTCTCCCGATCTAGGACACAGCACAGCCCTTCAGGCCGGGGGCTGGGGCAGGTGCGGGCATTTCCGTGGGAGACCCCGGGAGGAACAAGGACTCCTGACACTGCAGCAGGTTTTCCTCATCTCTGCATGTCGGAACAGCCCTCCCCCACGTGTCTATCTGCCCCACCTCTCTGCAGGAAGAGGAGGGCACAGAGGAGGGGGCGGGGGGATGCGCAGCCAACCAGGCGTGAGCGGTCGGGACTCCAGCAGCTCCCTGAGCACACACCATGCCCCCCAAACCACTGCGCCCCCCCCAGCAGGCCAGGGCCGCCCTCAGGACCACTCCTGGGCACCGAGCATTTGGCTCCTTCCCCTAGAGGAGCTTTCATGCCGATGGGCATGTTTCCCACAGAGGAGCTACTGGGTGAAGCGGTGTAATTTCAGAAGGGAGAATCCCAAGGCCTTGGAGCAGAAGGGACCTCTGATCTGAACCAGAGGGACTGGGAGCACGTGAACTTGAAGAGAGCAAGTTAGGGCTTCCCAGGGTGAGCAAGAAGGAGACACGGTGAAGACGTGATGGGGCAGCGGGCGGCAGAGCTGCAGGTGTGGGGGGTCTAGCTATGGAGGGCGGCGGGGAGACTCCAACAGTGGCGGGGTCAGGCTCGGGGAGATCCACCTGGACACAGGGTGGCTGTGGGCCGGACGTGGAGAGGGGCGGAGGCAGCGCCACAGGTGGGGCAAGGAGGGTGCCTGAGAGCAGGACTGGAGCCTGAGCCCCCATGGCAGAGGGGGTGCGCTACTGCGAGGTGACGGCTTGTTCTGGGGTACCCGGGTATGAGGCGCTGAGGGGGTCACACTGAAGGACAAAGTAACAAGCAGAACCGGCACGTGTAATGGGACAAGGATTGGGACTGGAAGAAAAGAAGTATGAGGCACAGTGAGAACCGGAAGGTGTTTTCATGGGAGAGTCATTCACAAAGCGACCGAGGCACCCAGAGAGCCCTGGCAGAGCCCCTGCGGGGCTCACGGATAGTGTCCTCTGACTGGAGTCGGCAGGGAAAGGGGCAGCACTGCAGGACGGGCACGGTGGGGGTTGTGGGGTTGGTGAGGACGCTACCCTGTGTCCCCGCAGTGATGGACAAGGGGCTTAGGGTGGGCTGGGACGGACTAGACGGAGGCTTTGCGTGCCAGGCCCCGGAGGAGCAGAAGCCACTCCAGAGGGGACAGGGCGGGTGGGGGCAGGATGACGCACACAGGGGTGCAGCAGGGTTGGGGCGGGGCTAGGGCACGAGGAAATGGAAGCTGAGCTCCAGGAGGAGCACTGACCTGTGAGCTGCCGGTCACCTCCGCCTTCAGCTTGCAGGTAGGCCAGGTCAGGGTGCACCAGAACCCCAGCGTTGTAGCCTCTCACACACGCGTCTGTCATCCGGGCTTCCAGGGTCTCAAAGACCTTCTTCTTTGTCACATGCAGGATGCCCAGGTTGGCAAAGCTGGAGAAGAACGGCATCCACCCGCAAGTCAGGCAACGCCTGCCGGAGCCCCGGGGCTGCTCACCCGAGGGAGGGGGCTGGAAGCAGCACAGGCCCTCAGCTGCGCTGGCCATCGCTGACATCTCCGCAGGGCGCGAAGTGGGCGCGGCACATGGAGTAATAAAGACTAAATAGCAACACACGGGCAGGCTGGGCTGTGCCCAAGGAGCCTGCGCTGAACTGGGGACAGAGCAGGGGGCGCACGCCCCTCAGCAAGCAGCGCCACTGGACGCGTCTGAAGTGTGGCCGGAATGGGCAGGAGAGGGGCGGCAGGGGTGGGACCGGATGCCTCTCTCCCAGGACACTCCGAGACACGAAGCTACGCGGAGGGCCCCCTCAGACGGGACGGACCATCGGCTGCGCGAACCGCCTGCACGGGGCAAAGGGGCACATCGAGGCACGTAAGGGAGGAGGGGATGCGTTCTCCTGAGAACCCCTCAGTGACCCGCAACTGGGAGGCCCGAAACGATGCGGTTTACGTGCAGAGCAACCAGGGGCTGAGCGGGACGAAGAGATGTGCTGCACCGGCGGCATGAGGCTCGCCCTGGGCCGCGTGGGGGCGGCTCGAAAGCAGGGGCTGCGTGTCAGGAGACCTGCCGGCTCATCCCGGTGGCTGTGGAGCGACACCGGCCCTCCAGTGAAGGTACAGGTGCAGAAGTGGGGTCCCTGCTGACGTGGACAGGCAAGCGTGGGCAGGTGCCGAGCTGGGCACTGACTGCTGAAGCTAAAGCCTCCCCAGGCAGGCCGCACCAGGGAGGCCCCGGGATCTCCTGGCCCTTGCTCTAGGGAACCCTGGACTGTGACGCCAGCCCACCTCCCAGGGCACTGCACGGCCAGAGGCACTCCCTCTCCCCAGCTTCTCTGTGAGGAAAGCCATTTGCTTATCTGAGAGCTTCCAGTGTACCACGAAACTGGAGTTTACAGAGGACTCTGCAAGAAGGCAGATGGGGAAACGCCATCTTGTGCCCCTCCCCACTGGGCCTGCCACAGTCACAGGCCCCGCCCCCCCAGACAGGAGCGCACACACCATCCGAGCCCCCACTTCCGCAAGAGGACACTTCCAGGGCTCTTGGTTGGAGGCCCGCAGGGCCTGTGAATGTAGCCCCATGGGCTGTGTCTAGCAGCACAGTTTAGGGTCAGGCTTTCAAACAGATTGAAAGCAGGTGTTGAAGAGATCCATCCCTTTGGGTCACTGACCACTACTGGCACACGCTCAACCACGGGCGGCTGTTGACAGTAAGTCAGCCTCTTCAGACAGTCACCAAGGTTCTGGAGGCAACCAAGAGCAAGGCTGAAAGATGAGGTTCATCTCCCACACGGGCCACTCCTTCGAGAGGGAGGCAGCTGTTTTAACTAACATATAAAAACAACAGAGTCAAGCAAAATGAGAAGGCAGGAATATGTTCCAAACAAGAACAAGATAAGACCACAGAAAAGCACTTTAATGAAACAGAGATAAGTAATCTGCTGACAGTGCTCAAAGCAGCGGTCATAAAGACACTTCACCAACTGGGAGGAGGGCGGGCGCACAAAGCGAGAATCTCACAAAGACAGAAAACACCACATGGAAGCCACAGAGCAGAAGATGAGCTAAGACAGAAACCAACCGCCAGAAGGAGTCAGCAGCAGACGAGATGGAGCAGAGCTCCGATCAGCAGGCCAGAGGACACAGCAGCGGCCTCATACAAACAGCAGCCTCATGGGACGCCTCAGGGCACTCTGCAACACATCAAGCGGAATGAACGCCATCCTACAGAGGTTCCAGAATGACAGCGAGATAAAGGGGAGAAAACCTATTGGAAGAAACAATAGTTATAAACTTCCCTCATCTGAGGCAGGAAACAAAACATCCAGGAAGCAGAGGAATCCAAACGAGAGAAGCCTGAAGAGACGACACAGACTTGTAATTGCGATGGTAAAGGAAAGTTACAGATGAAGATTCTTAAAGGCAGTGAGAGAAAGACACTTGTTACGTACAGTAGAACTTTCCGTGTCCCCCAAGACTACAAGCAGGTATTCCAGCAGACACTGTGCAGGCCAGAAGGGAGCGGCACAAGGTACTGAAAATGCTGGAAGGAACAAACTTCCAACCAAGAATACTCTGAGACACACAGGCGCCACTCAGAACCGCAGAGAAACAGCGTCTAGACAAGCAGAAGTCAAGGACTGACTTCAACACCGCTACACCAACCTTAGAAGGATGCTAACAGGGCTTAGACTGAAAAGGAAAAACACCAGTGAGGAGCAGAGAAAACATGTGAAAGAAGAAATCTCACTGGTGAGGGCAAATATAGTGACTAGACATAGGATTAATTCTTACAAAGCTAGGAGGCAAAATAAATGACAAAAACAGTAAAATTAAGTATTACAATAATTAGTCAAAGGATACACAGAACAAAAATGAAAAATGTGACATCAAAATATAAAAGGGGCAAAGAGGTACATTCTGCATTCAAACTCATGCTGTCAACGAGACTGCGGCCTACATGGGTGGACCCCGGGTCCACAGAGCAAAACCCTCTGCAGCTGCCCCAGAGGGCGGGAGAGCGTCTAAACACACCACCGCAGAGGTCATCAAATGGCAGGTAAGTCGGAACCGACAGGAACGACACCAACGGCGGAAAAACGACAAGAGTCGGAGAGAGCAAGGAACGTTCGCCGGGCTGAGTAACGCCCCGGGCGGTGCCGCCCGCGCAGACTGCTCAGAGGGCGCGGGGCCGAGCGGGCACGGCAGGCGCAGGGAATGGAGAGGATGCAGAGGCTGGGTGAGCGGCTTTCTGTGTCAGCGGCATAATCATTTTTACTGCAAATATACGACTGATTCTTTTAATGAATAAGAGGATCCACTAAATTTGGAAAATATTTTTTTCTTTTAGCGCATCCTTGGGTTTCCAGATAGAATTTAAAGTCTGCCTGGAACCATCCCACCTCCGCTGGGTTCGCGAGAAGTTTGGAATTATTATCAGAGGAATGCCATCTAGTTTACCTGTGCTCAGACCTGAAGGATAGCTGGAGTGAAGCTGGAGGAGCTCTTCTCTCACGAAGATTATATGTACATAGAGTACAACAGAATAAGCTAACTACAGCAACTGGACGGGTTTTCAGGGATGCAAATATAAATACTGGAGCATGAAACAAAGAAATGTCCTCAGCACTGGAAAGCAAAGGAAAGCACCACACCGAGGCACGCCTACCCCAAGCGCTCAGCCGGGTCCTGGCTGGTCCCGGGGCATGCTTGGAGCCTGCGCTAGCAGTGAAGGCACCGCTACCTTCTCGGAGCCGTGTGCTGGCGCAACGAGAGAGAAGAAACAAAGACAGAAGCAAATTTCACAGTGTAGTTTACAAAGTGTTAGCCAAAAAATAGAGTAGGAACAGCACTAGGGAGGCCTGACATTTAAAACAGGGAGAAGGCGAGATGGCCCTCGCTAGCGGATGCGACCCGAGCAGCTGGAAGGGAGGAGGGAAGATGTGGGGGAGCCACCTCTGAGGCAGAAGAAACAGGTGCAGGACCCCAAGGTAGGCCCAGGCCCGACGTTTCCTAGAGACGGCACCGGCGGATGGAGTAGGGGGCACGGCCTGGGGGGTGCGGGGGGTGCGGATCTGTTAAAGGCGGCGCGTCTGGAGGACTTTACTGTTATCCGCACAGTGACGGAAAAAAGAGATGCGAACAGACAGAGAAGGAAATACACTCAGAGAGCAGAAGCTTCTGGAGGGTGCAGAATGGAGGCTGACACAGGGGTCCTGATAAGCGTCTGGGCGGCACAGGAGAAACAATGCCTCCACCTGCGGGATCTACAGGCCTCGCTCCCCTGCAGCACAGCAGGACTCGGCGTGCACCAGCCACCTCCTTGGCAGAGACCATGACAGGCATCTGCCCAGCACTGTGTGCCTCAGTTTCCACAAAGCATAAAATAAGGGATGAAAAGTTACAAAGTTGATGATACCTACAAACCCAGAGAGCCAAGCTCGCAGCGAGCCCCAAAGCACAAGAGATACATAGAAAGTCGCACTAAGGCTCACCAAACTCAAATTGCTGAAGACTGCTGAAAAGCAGACCAAGAAAAACCTACCCACTGTGTGCAGAGGAGCAAAGCCAAAGGCAACAGGCGGCTCTGGGTGGAAGGAGGCGGCCTGCGGGCCCAGGGCCAGCGTTGTGAGAGAACACACCCGAGAACACTGTTACCCCACAATGCCTCACTGTCAAAAGCAGAGTTTCAAGACACCCAACAGCTGGAGTGGACCAGCAGCGGGGCGGTGATGCAAGAGGGAGGATTTAGGCAGAAGACAAAGACAGCAGACAGGACTCTTGACCCGGGAGAAGAACCAAGCAGCACTGCACACATGAAAGGCTGCTTTCCTTGTTTACAGGTGTCTTTAAAAGATAATCGAGTATTTAAAGCAACAAGAAAACATGTATCGTGGGATAAACTCTGAAGCAACAGCTAAAAAGGCAAAGATGTACAAACTGAAAAGGAGCAAGAAAGCTACGTACACAAACCCTCCATCCAGAGGCAGAAGAGGAGGAGAAGGGGAGGCGGGGAAGAGGCGGGCGAGCAGAAAACAAAGCGCAGGACAGCGGGTTATGTGCGCACCCGGCAAAGCCAGCCTCTGCAAGTCCCGTGTTCAGATCACCGTAACTCCACCCTTCGCCATGCCACTGGCCCCGGCCACAGCCACATCGGTCATCACTGGAAAAATAAATGGTCTCCACACCCCGAGTAAGAGGCGGTGCCAGACTGAACGTGCTGTGGGCAGACTTTGAGTAGGAGGACACAGAGGGTACAGGTGAGCTGGAAACGAGCTCCAGCTAGCAGCAGTCAAAAGGAACGGAAGCAGCTGTATGAGCTCGGCTGAGGCAGACTGGAGCGGAGAATATCACCAGAGATGGAGGAACATTTCACGATGAGGACACACAAATCCCAAATGTTCATAATTAAAGAACTTAATGAAAGCACCTAATA